GTCTAACAATATATTGCTAGATGGGGAGTTCGGGGCAAAAGTGGCAGATTTCGGGGTGGCCAAAATGTTTAGAGGAGTCAACCAAGGCGGAGAATCCATGTCTGTCATTGCCGGATCTTATGGTTACATTGCACCAGGTTTGTGAACTTAGTTTATTCATCTTGACATTTTTAAGTTGAATTCTAAATCTGAATCTAGGATTCCTTTTCTGTTCTGTTCTTTTAGATTATGCTTCTTTCAAGTTTCAATAGCCTGATAAACTGCTAGCTGCATATATTGCCTGTTTAAAATTCAAACATTAATGATATCTGTTATTGTTTGATCTGCTACAGAATATGCCTATACTCTTCGGGTGAATGAAAAGAGTGATATTTATAGCTTTGGAGTGGTTATTCTTGAACTGGTCACTGGGAAACCCCCCATTAATTCGGAGTATGGAGAAGAGGATTTGGTGAAATGGGTTTCCAAAACATTGGACCAGAAAGGAAACATTGGACCAGAAAGGAATAGACAAAGTGATATGATCCATTTCTTGATTCCAAATACGAAGAACAAATCAGAAGGTACTCAGTATAGGGCTTCTCTGCACAAGCTGTCTTCCTATACACGACCTTCCATGCGTCGAGTTGAATGGTGAAGATGCTGCAGAAGTTTCTGCAGATCCCAAGTCCACAAGTGTGAAGAGGGACGGAAAACTCTCCCCTTATTATCACGAAGAAGCCTGTGATCAGGGAAGCATAGTCTAATATCTACATGCCTCAAAATCATAGTGAGGTTCAAATTTTTCCTCTGTGCTGAAGATCTTTGAGAACATTACAGTAGAATACTTAGATAACTGTAGATGAAAAGATCCAAGGGTAAGAATCCAAATTTAAGTGAGAGGCATAATGTTGTCTCAATTGTTGTTAGTTGTATGTTATTATATTTAGCAGGAAAGTAAGTATTTAGCTTGACGCCAGTGGATTCATATGGAGGAAGTTATGTACTGCAATCACAAATGGCAGTCACCTTCTGCCGTCCATTTCCATTACAAAAAATAAATTTGTTCTGTTGCCCTCCCTTTCGATTCTTCTACCGTCACTACTCTATGTTGGTGAGATAATTTTGAATTAATTTATGATTGTCTTCATCAGAAGCATTTTTTAGGGGGGGAAAAGCAACAAAAAAAAAAAAAAAGAGCGTGAATTGGAGTTTCTTTCCTTCCCTAATTTAAGGACAGAACCATGTCGTCTGAACGTGTTTGTTCATTTTAATTTAATTCTTAATCTTAAATTGAGTTGGTTCTTTTTTTTTTTTTAATTTCAACTACATTAATTAATTAATTTAGTGTCCTAAAATATATGCATAATATTTTTTTAAAAATTTCAAGATTAGCATTTATCCTTGTTCAGTTCTTAGTAATTCAGTAAAAATTAATGGTCCTTTATGAGGGAAATGGGGAGATGAGGGGAAATTTTAATGAGTTAGATTTAAAAAAATTAGGATTAAAAATTTTTAATTAACTTTTTTCTTCTTTTATCATGCATCTTTTTCCTTATTAAAATTGCATAACCTCGTTTTTTTTTCTTCAATGTTTTAAATCTAAATCATTGTGTCAGATGAGTAACTCAACCTCAAACACAATTTTTTTCCAAAAAAAAAAAACCTCAAACAGAATTCATGCAGCGGGTCACGTTCCCTGCACCAGGGCCGCCACATCACCGCTCGCGTTACTCACGTCCCACCGTACGTCTCCTCTTAATTTCTCTCCTTTCTAATTTCATACACTTTTTCAAAATTAGGTTCTCCCCTCCTGATTTCCCTCCTGCTTTTCTGCTGTATGGTAAAATGTGATATTATGATAAATATATGTCAAACAAATGGAATGGATTTGGTAATCATTCTTTCAAAAACATTTTTTTATTTAAAAATAAGACTAAAACATATATTTGGTCTTTTAATTTTATGTAAAATTTCAGTTTGGTTCCTTAACTTTAAAAAGTATACTTTTAGTTCTTTAACTCTCTAAAATTTTTCTTTTTGAATAATTAATTAAAAAATTTAAATATGGACCATCAAAATCTGATAATTTAAGTATTTTCTTAGACAACATGCATGGTTTAAGTATTTCTTCTAATTTTTTTAATAAGCACCTACTAAAATTTTTAGAAGATTAGCAAAATTATTTAAAATTTTTGTGTGTGTAAAATCTCAAAATTAACGTTAATAAAAGTGATTAATTAGAGGAGTTTGTTTAATTAGCTTTGAAGTTTTATAGTTAGTTAAGAATATTAGGTGAAAAAATTAATATTTTACACAACACATATTAATATGTAGAAAATCCTTATAAGAAAAGATTAGAGGGCGTATTATTATTAAAGAATTTTTAAACATTTAATGGTGGAGGGAAATTATTTTGGGGTTTTTTTTTGTCTGAAGATTTTGGTGTTGGGTTTCATTTCTTTCAAGGCCCAGCGTCCGCGATTGGAAAACAAACAAAAATTGCCTTTTGCACCAAAAATTATATAAACGACCTCACAAGGACCTCATGTGTGGCTGAATGACCAATGAGTGTGTTTTCAAGTATAAGGATCTGGACACCTTAAACATTATATTTTAGGTTTAATTTTTGGAGCGGTGGATATGGAGAAAAATATCATTAGGAGGTTTCCCGCTATAATGCTTGATATTGTCTTGAGATATTAGTTTTTTACTAGTCGGGTGAGTAAATATCTAGGCAACAAAAAAAAAGGCTGAATGACATCAAATTTTACCAATGTTTAAAAAAATTCCTAAATATCAACAGAGTTGAGTATAGTAGAAAGGTTGATCCGTTACAACATGACAAATTAATATTCGAATCCCCGTTTTAAAGGTGCCTATATTTAGTGCTTAATAGTGTATTAAATAGGATTGTCTTGAATAGGAGGATACTTATACTTAGCAAAAAAACCTAAAGTTTTTGTGGCTTAAAATAAATATCATAATCACTGTTACTTTAAAGTGCAATCATTTTTAATTTGAAAAAAGTGCAAAAAAAAAAGAGTAAAAGATAATCTTCAATTATAAACATTATAATAATTTTAGTTTTTGTAATTCCCAAAAATGACTTTCTCCGTTGTACTTTCTCCCCCTTTTTTTTTGGTAAAAAGGTTTATATTTTATCTTTAATATCACGTATCACAAGCCTCTCAAAGAAATCATGGTTTAGGATTTTTTTTTTTCATACAGCTATTATAGATTAATAGTAATTTTTTTACTTGTGTTATTGCATATATATCTCAAATCAATTAGTATGATCAAAAGCCTATATTAAGAATGAAATGCTTCTAAAGTTATCAGAAACCATTATTTGATTATCTCTTCTTTAAATCGTGTCTCTTGCTCTTGTCGAGGTCTCTATTTTCTATCTGTTTGATAACACTTGTCTAATTATAAGTTACGTTGTTCAAAATAACTACTCCACCAAAGAATAACAAGGAGCAGTTTGTAGCAGCAACAAATCAAAATTATCATGACCATAATATGAATCACAAACATTAAACTAATTAATAGCAAAACAAAATAAAGGAAAATCACATTCTATTGTAAACCAAGGTCCAAATTCCTGTTAAGAAATGTACTCACATTTAATTCCTGACAGTATTTTAAGACAGTATTTTAAATAGGATACCTGTGTCTCAGGGAAAAAATAGAACTTTTTTTTTTTTTTTGTCTTTGCCCTTCACCAACAATTGACCCCTTTGCTTCTGCCACATGGCCACTAATAAATTTTTGTGCCACCAACAATATATATATTTAGGCATGGCTTTTTTTCAGTCAAAATAAGCATGAAAATCCAGAGAGAAGTAGAGAGTTTCCTTGCTATGCATGACAAGTTTACTTGAAGGAATGGATTTTATGGTTGGCTCTCTCTCTCTCTCTCTCTGATATATATATATATATATATATATTATATATATATATTCATCATTTCATAATCATCTTCTTCGTCTTCGTTCTGGTTATTGCAGTTTAGCTTTATCTGCACTCCAACACGACATAAGACCTGAATTCCAACCCTTTCATGTTGTTGCGTTCTTACAAGTTAGATTGCCCCATTCCCACTCAACTGATATCTCTCAGTGTTTCTTTTAAAACTTAAAAACCATTTTCGTTTTCAAAATGAAACATCCGTTTGGTACCTTGTCGTTGTATTATGAACATCATGGAGTTCAAACACAATATTATAAGTAACAAACAATGGCTGAATTATAGAAGACGTGAATTAAGATTAAACACAAAAGAGTAACCCAAACCCTCAGCTAGCCATATTAAGAGTAAGTGGGACAAAATTATAACCTACATATGTTTATTCTTCAAGTTTCCCTATAAAGTATTTGTGAGGCCAAAACAATACTTGAGATCAAAGCGATTTTTTATTTCTTATTTTATTTTTCTGCGGTTCCATGCTAGCCAGCTCTCTGTATACATACATCCATTGTCTGCTGAGATTTTTAAGGTCTGATCTCTCTCTCTCTCTCTCTCTCTCTCTGTCTCACACATCTTCTCGCAATAGGAAGGAGAGAGAGGTTAGGGAAGGACTGAACATTCTCTTTAGTGAAAAGAAAATCTCTCTTTTTTTAAAAAAAAAAATGTGAGAGAGAATTCAATTCTTTTCCGCCCCTCAACAAGAATTTGTATGAGAGGATCAATCTTCACAAGACACACAACATTTCTTTATTCTCTCGCCTTTTATTTGCTTCTTTTTGCTCTGAGATAGATAATTGAAACCTCTCTCTCCCTCTCTCTCTACGTTCTTAGATTCTGTTTGTACACTTTACGAGTTGGCAGAAGAGGAGATTAAAACAAGAAGTGTCTGGAAGAGAAGATATATAATGCAGAATGGAATGAGCATGAGGTAAGAAAGGAATGTATAAATATGACTCAGCAAAGCAATATCAGTATTGTTGACAGAACCTGTCCTTCGTGTGGCCATCATATCAAAGACCAACAGGTTTCATTATTCACAAATATATTATAATCTCCCTCTCTCTCTACGTTCTTAGATTCTGTTTGTACACTTTACGAGTTGACAGAAGAGGAGATTAAAACAAGAAGTGTCTGGAAGAGAAGATATATAATGCAGAATGGAATGAGCATGAGGTAAGAGAAAGGAATGTATAAATATGACTCAGCAAAGCAATATCAGTATTGTTGACAGAACCTGTCCTTCGTGTGGCCATCATATCAAAGACCAACAGGTTTCATTATTCACAAATATATTATTCCTTTTGTTCTTAGTTTTAATCTGTTATATATATATATATATATATATTGTTATTTTGGTATAATTATGAAATGGAAAATAGGGAGGAATACATGAGTTACCAGGATTACCAGCAGGAGTGAAGTTTGATCCGAGTGACCAGGAGCTCTTACAACACTTGGAAGCGAAGGTGAGGTCTGATATTCACAAGCTTCATCCTTTAATCGATGACTTCATTCCTACTCTTGAAGCCCAAAATGGAATCTGCTCCACTCATCCCCAGAAACTCCCAGGTCTCTTCATTTTTATCTTATTTTCTTTCCTCTTGACAATAAGTTTTAATATCTAAGTTTATAACTTTTTCAATTATTAGTTATTGTAATATAATAAGTTTTAATATCTAAGTTTATAACTCCCACTGGGGATATTGCTGAAGGGGATATTATATTACAATGGTGTATGTATTACCATGATACATCCACTTTATGATCACATTGATATACATAAGCAGCTTCCACCAAGTTTGTGTGTCCAGAGTTCCTTATAGATATATCATGGTAAGTTGGTTTCTTACAGACTCGTTTACATATGAACAAGAAGAGAAAGAAACAGAATACATAATCCCTTCAACAAATGTTATAGTTACTGCAGATAGAATATATGATTACTACACGTCTTAATAATCAATTGAAGTTATTGGTTCGAGTATTTATACATACACCATTGTAATATAATATCCCCTTCAGCAATGTTTCTGTATGTATTTATATAGTTTTGTGGACAAAGTGCTATAGAGTTCAAAGTGGATGTATCATTTCACGCCATTTATTTTATTTACCATACTATCATATTTTTAGTCCAAAATTTAACAGTATATGATCGTATAAACCTATTTCACTTAAATTCCCATTCATGGAAATGTTAATTTAGGAAGGGCTTTACATGTGTTCCGTTGCTGACAGAGATTAGTCTTTCATACTTAACTAGGAGAATGATCGATATTAATTCACACTAGAAAATTAATGCTTACTGTAATTATACTGATAATTTCAATTTGAACAATACTCTCTTAAGAGGATCATATAATTGTTGTTTTAAGATACAAATTCCAACAATTAATTTAATTACGTCTCAGGCATCATGTTTGTAAACGTCTAGTATGCTTAGTTTGATGCTACAAATCACACGATTCAGTGCAACTTTTAGTGATTTTAATATATATATATATATATTGATGTGTATATTGACGGCTCGTATGGTAGTTACCACCACATTAATTATATTTTTTGTAGCATTCAACTTGAAAGCAAAACATGACATTGCTGGTACGGAATCAATATCCTCGTTATAGTAATAAATTAACATGTGATGTGATAAATCTATAAATTAATTTGTGGTGCGTGCAGGAGTTAGAAAAGATGGCCTGATCCGCCATTTCTTTCACAGGCCATCAAAAGCATACACAACGGGAACAAGAAAAAGGAGAAAGGTGAACTCAGAAGAAGCAGAAGGGAGTGAGACAAGGTGGCACAAAACAGGCAAGACAAGGCCAGTGTACATTAATGGAAAGTTGAAAGGCTACAAGAAAATCCTCGTACTTTACGCCAACTATGGCAAACAAAGGAAGCCTGAGAAGACAAACTGGGTGATGCACCAGTACCACCTCGGATCCAACGAAGAGGAGAAAGAAGGAGAGCTGGTCGTGTCCAAGGTTTTCTACCAGACACAGCCTCGACAGTGTGGTTCTCTTCTGAAAACTCAACCTCTGCATCATCATCATCATCTTCATGGAGTCACCAGTCATAATCACAAGAACAATAATAATGGGTTCGTTGAGTTCTATAACTCTGGATTCATATCATTTGATCAAGCTGGCCAACAAAGATCTTCTCATTTTCCAGTTCATGATGATGAATCTCCTTTCATTGCTTGAATGGAAATAAAAGGTTTGGCTATGGGAGGAGAAGATGACAAAGATGATCGAAGAGAGGTATTACAATCACAATTATAATAATCACACACACACACACACACATATATATATCTCTGAAGAAATAAGCTAGGGGGGTAAAATTTTAATTTATCAGTTCTGAAAGTCTATTCAGGGTTGAAATCCGATCTTGTTTTCTTTTTGGAAGCATGTCAGGATTAAATCCCTGTGATTATTTAAGTACCATACTTGACTTTGTAAATTATCATGCTTACTATTATCAATGAAAGAAAGCGCAATAATCTTAAATTAATATCAATTCGTTGTTTCTACGATGGTTTAGTACAGTGTCAGAAGAAATGTTGACGTCATCAAGTCCTTGTCTTGGGTGAGCACTAAATATCAATCTAAACAGATATGGCTTTGCGCCTCAAGCAATCTTCAGCTTCAGACAACATGCGGTTTTCACTTAAAACTTTAGGTCAAAGTTTCCGAAATGCTACCTCCGGTCAAACAAAATTTTATAATTAGAACTAGAAGTACTATATTATTCGAGTTCTTGGATGGTTATAATAGGGTAATTTTAAGAATTGTGTATTTTATATTGAGAAGAAAAAAATGTGGTACAAGGACACATCAAAACTATCTGATTAGATATTAAATTAGAAAGTTTTCAAATAGAAATCAAACCATAGTTTTAAAAATGACTTTATGATATATAAAGTAAACATGTGAAAATTTTTTTATCTCAGTACTTGTGTAAAAATACTTTTTAAAACTAATTTTTGTTTAAACAAAAACCCCCTTAAAGTAATTTATTAAAATCCAATTATCATAACTTGATCCATCGTCATCTCTTGTCTTCCAATCAGTTTCTGTTTTTGTTCCTTCTTTTTGCAATCATTCTTCTTTTTCTCTCAAGCCAAGAACTTAGTTCCAAGTTGTTCCAAACACTGAATCATTTCACATCTTGCACTGCGCGGTGAAATTATTGGATTCTTTTGTCTCATCGGCCACAACACCCAAATCAATTTTACCCACCGCAGAGAAGTGAAGAAAGTTATTCCTTCACCAATAATGATTCCTCAAACCCTGAAACCAGTTAGCTTCAATTTTATCAGCAACATGCAATCGTTTGCTCTGACCTTATCAAGTTCCGACTACAATCGTGGGTTTGACAATAAATACTAATAGATTCAAACATAATCCAAAATGTTCATATGCTATTTTAATATGACAATCATGTCAGAGTCCAGCTTCATCAGTTCAATTTTTAATTCGTTCACATTCAAATATAAGACCAACAAAGAAGCAGATCTCCTACACCTGACTTTGATGAGGAAAACCATGACAACCTTTTGGAAAGGAAGCAAAGCACGAAACAGTTGGGTAAGCACCTGAACCAAAGCTCATGGTCTCTCCTCCCATAGGCTTCTTTCGCATTATAAGTGAAAACACTCGCCTGGGACTTGATCAACACGCCACAAACTCGAGTCAGCTTCCGCATATGAATTTTCAACCTTATTCTCATCAATTTCTTTTCATTCAAAGTTCAAAACCAGATGCAATTCAATTCAAGAACTAAAATGTTGAAATGTACACTCTTAGATATAATAAACAACCAACCTAAACTCAGATGTTGACAGAAAGTTTAACCAACGGATACGAATTAATCTGATTGATCGAAATAGAACATCAAGTATATCAACAAACAAGCACAATCCCAACGGGCGTCAGATAACATTGTGTGAGTGGAAGGAAATTATGCACCTAAATCACTCAACATCACAGAACTTCGCCTAAATAACCTACGAGGAGACGAGTTCCGTGATATACATTAACAAGGAACATTGAATATCCGACAATAGCGAGATTTTACCTATAATTCTTCCTAGTTATGTCTCCACAGTAGCTACATTTGTTTTTTCTTCTTCCTCAGTACATAAACGTCGGTTTCCTCATATGCATATTCAGGATGAAGGTGCTCGTGAGGAACTTTTTCGATCGTAAACACTTCCTCACACAGTTCCCAGAAAAGCTTGTGTGCCTCAGGGGACCTTAACTGGTAACCGAGCAAAACGACGCCGTTAGCAGCGAGAAGGGCCTCCATGGCGGAGACCAGTTGAGCCACGGATTCTTCAATATAAACGACGTCGGTAGCGACAACGAAGTCGAAGGGTGGATTAAGAGCCCTGATTTGATCGAGATTGTTCCAATAAAGAGTCGAGTATTTGAGGTTCTTGCCGAGGACAGGCTTGTTGATTTTAAGGTTGCGTTTGAGTGCGGGCATGACAGGGGCTATGTCAGTGAGAACGATGTCGGTGAGACCCAATAGGTAGAGTCCCATGCCGGCAACGCCGCATCCGGTGCCGATTTCGACGGCGCGTTTGGATCCGAAATCAAGGAGGTCGGAGTAAGGGTTGGGAGTGTTGAGGTCCGCAGGAAGGGGCGGGGCCCAGCGGTCGACGAATTTGACGAGGACGAGAGAACAAGGCCAAACGGAGGTTCCTACGTGGATGGAGCCGTTATCTTGCTGGAGAGAGAGGACGGAGCCGCGCACGGGGAGCTCGATCACCGGCGAGTCGGTGAACTTCATACTGTTCACTCTCCGTGTCCCTCCCAACACCCTGTTTGCCTCTCTCCTGGATTCGGCGTCAATATGTTCATTGATGATGCTTGACGTATAAGGCCCATTGAAGGCCCAATTGCACACCTATATTTGGACCCAACTAAAAAAAAAAAGCTCGAATTCTATGGATCTTGGGCATTGTCGGAAAAGTGGCTGAAAAATAAATGTATATAATATACAAAAAAAAGGGAAAGAAAGAAAAGTAGCTGAAAAATGTCCCAATATATATATATATATATATATAAAATCCACAAAAAATAAATGAATTAGTCTCTGAAAAATCATCTGATGGAAAAAATCCTATTCATTAGGTTACAAAAGGGAAAAGAAACTAGGTTGAGAAAACGATATTCTATTCAAAGTCCCAGGCCGTAATTTTAAGCTGCACTTTGCAGACTGTAATTTTTTCTTCGTCGAAACAATATTTTGGCATGATTTCTCAAAGTCTACTAGATGTAACTATATATTTTATTTAAATTTAATTCTCCTCCAATATTAAATGCAAAACCTATTTTATAGTGTAATTTGAGGCCCATTTTATGGTATAATTTATACTACAAAATGGGTTTGACATTTAGGATCAGAAAAGTAATATTTTTATGATTATAGAAAAGTTCTTATTAGTTAAAGATTATATAATTAAAAATATATTGATTTATTAATTAATAATAACCCATCACAATTGGACCATGGTTCAATCATTAAGCCGTGAACAAAATATTTTATGATATGAATCTCATGGATGCATAACTTAAATAAGAAGGCGATGAACGTCAATTTTAGAGAAGTTGCCCCACAGAGCACGCTATGATGTAACCAAAAGGGAAAACAAGATCAAAGATATATAGTACGGCAGTCTGAGACGGGAATATATATGTCTTCTTTATGTTGTTGCATTCACTTCCCCCCTCCTTTATGTTCTCTTTCACTGTTCTTTCATCCATATCCTATTATCTCGCTTTCAAATCTCTCCTCAACTCAGTTTGTTCTTAATTACTTTAATTACATAATGCTGACATATATATGAAGCCCCTGTGTCTTATATATGTAATCACAAACTAATCATCAAGTAAATTCACAAAATGTTAAAACTGTCAAGTGTCATGAGTCTCATATAGGGTGGGTTTCTTTGAAAGATAGGTTTTGTAAGGCATTGGGTTTCCCAACTCTAAATAGCTAACCTTTAGGGTGTGGTTTGTCTAAGGACTTGTACTCATTACATGCATTTTCTTTGATAAGTTAGAACAAGCCAGAATCATGAGCAAAAGCAATGCACTTGTTAATTAGCTTCGATGTGTTTTCATATTTTCTGTTTTAAGCTTTTGCTTTGTCATATTTTTCTCTCTGATCTATGGAAAAGGAAAATGCAGAGAAATGGAATGACAGTGAGCTAGCCATAAATGAAGAGAAGAAGGATTGATCATTAAATGAGAATTCAGAAGGTCATGTGCAGTTTATTAGAGAATATCCATTTTTGACATGTCTCAGAAAGACAGCCAATCTCGAAATACTACAGGTATATGCATTGTTGGAGAGAATGAACATGATGAAAAGCTTACCCATTATATATGTTTCTTTTTCTTTTCTTTTTTTTCAATATAATAAGTGATTAACGTAAAAGTGCTAGAGCAAAAGCTAGAATCATGCTTTTTTGTGATTGAAAAAAGAAAAGGTAAGGGAAAAAGGAAATTCCCCCCATGAAGGTCATGAGGTTGAAAAGACAAGTTACAAGAAGCACAACAAAGAGATGCGCAAAACTGAGCAATAATGGAGTCCAAAAGCGGTGCTTGCTTTGCTTTCCTTTGCTCCCACTAGTCCACAAATTCATTCCCTTTCACTAAAGCTCCCATTTTTACAAAAAAGGAGTCAGCTTTCAAGATTCAAAAGAATATGCATTTCTCTTCACCCTCTCTCTCTCTCTCTCTTCCTTTTTTTACTCACCCCACTTCGTTAGTTTCCTTCTAACTTACATATTCTTCTTCTTCCACCACAAGCAATCACTCAAATATAAGTTCCATGCATACTCTAAAATAATTTATGATGAAATCAGCGAGAGATAGAAATAACTAATAAACACGTAACTGATCAGTTAGTAGAGAACTCTGCTAACTTAATTAGTGAGTGATATATATCGTGTGAGTCCTATAAGTATGTAACTGTTAAAATTGGTTAAAAGAATGTTGCTGCTTTTGTGGTCCTTCAATATGACTTCGAGATGATAAAGGGAAGGGAGGGGCAAAGAGAAGAACAAATGAATATGGTATGGGCAAGATACCAAATATACAGAGATAAAACTTATTTTTATCTTCCTCTTTCTTTTTCCTTGTGACTTTATTAATCCATCAAGTACTTCAAAATCTGCGACTTTTAATCCTCCCTCCAAAGTCTTCACACACTTCATTCCTCTCCTCCAACTCAACGCCGTCCCCCCTTAGCTTTTCTTATAATCTTTCTTTTTCCTTTCATCGAGAAAAAGAAACAAAAAGTAAGCGGGCATAAAAATGGAACTACTACTGCTGTAATTTCTTTCATGTATACAATGTACAACCTCACTGTACGGTGGACCATTAAAACTCTTTAAAGTGGATGTTTTAGGTAGTGAAATCAACTAATTAATTTACCCACTTTTGCAGAAGTTTTATTATTCCATGCATTAGCTGATTGTACACTATATAACCAAGGAAATTTTCAGGGAACACTATGTGACAGAACGGAAAAAATGTAGTTTTCGAATGTAATTTGAAGTGTGGCACTGTGTCTGATATTAGTCTTAAATATTAAACCTAACGAAACAAATCAGACCCATCCATTGATTGATGAAGGGTGGCAAATGGTTTGCACACCACCAACACCAAGGAAATCCCTAGTTTGCCCTCCTTCTTCATTCTGTAATACCTGCCTTGGGCGTTTTGCCGGGTGCATTTGTGACATTTCACTTGCCTGAGTTGTTCTCTGTCGTCTGATCACTTCCTCCACCACCAACATTAGTGAGAACCGAACCTGAACCCGAACCCGAACCGTACATGCCATAATACTTGTTGCTCCCTTGATCATCTTCTTGAACACCTTGACTAGTACTACATTTTAACCCTAAGCTCCCCAGAAATGTGGGGTCACAGGTGGTCGAGGTTGCTCCTATCTGAGCAGCTTTTTGCAACAGCGCTGTAGCCGACATGTTTGCCGAGGTTGTTTGGTATGTTTGATGATTTTGGGAGCTGTACAAGGAAGGAACACTAATCATTCCAATTGAGGTGCTTGCTAGCTCTTGGCATGATGAAGAACTTGAAATAAGCTTGTTTCCAAACACCCAATTTAACTGCTGCGGGTGTGAAGAAACAAGCTGGTGGTTCCCAAGTTGATGATGCATATTCTGATCATGAGGGTTACCGATATTGCCATTACTAGGCATTATTGTTTGATGATGATCAGATTGGTGAGGTTGATGATGATGACCCATCCATAGGGATAGCCCTCTAATAGGTGTTTGATTATTTGCTTCCTCGGTATTGGTGTTTGAGATTGGCTTCAAGATTGAAGGAAAATGGGTTGACATATTGTTGTTGTTTGGTCCTAGTAAAGCAGCTCCAATTATATTATTGTAACTTATGTTGTTGTTCATGTTGGATGCGGCGTTCACTCTTGCTGTTTCTTCTGCTAGGGCATCACAGAAGGCCCTATGTGTGATGAAGCTATCCCTCCTGCTCCAATAGAAAGGAGAAAAAATTTCCAATATCAACAATCTTAACAAAAATCAGAATGGTGAGATATATATATATACACACATATGACTTGTAAGAAGTACAGCCTATAGAGCACACTTAGTCAAAAAATGAACAGAATCAACTAATAATCACATAATTAGGAAAGGTTTAAACTTTGAAGATAACTCCAAAGGAGGAGCTTTTGTCGTTTCATTCGCAAAATGATAGACAAAATTAAAGCTCTTCTCTCAAAGTTCTTTGTCTGCACTAACACTCATTCTGCTTTTACTCCTTAAAGCCACAGGGAGACAACAGGCACAAATTTACACGCACACTACTTTAGATTGACCTAGCCCAGTGTATTCAAAAAATTTTCCCCAAAATACTCTTAGAAACACTAAACCCGGGTCGAAAGATACTTTGCACTTCATCATGATTTTAAAAGACTCGAAGTTTAATTATATATTTCCTGCAATATGATGAAAGTGATATATCGTCTGAGCCAGCCGAGGTCAACTCGCGGCTGTGTGCAATATATTGCAAATCTCAGTCCTTTTCTAGTTTTCCAGTAAAACTGAAAGAACCTAGCTAATTGCCTGTTTCAGATTGTTCCTCAGAGACCGCAAGGAGAGTTACTACTTATGCAAATATATTAATTACCGTGAAAAGATGGTGCCACAGTCACATTTGTATTCCCTAGTACCACAGGTTTTGGAGTGGGCTTTCCAATCAGACTGAACAGCATAACGCTTTGAGCACTTCTCGCACTTCCACTTCTTCTCACCGTGCTTTCTGCAGAAGTGCTTTTTGATGCCAGTCAAATCTCCCAGAGCCCTCGATGGGTGGTTGTGCACGCAGCTTTTTTCTGGGCACACATACACTCGCTTTTTCACTTCTTTGCTTGTCCTCTGTTTCAGCTTCCACGGAAGATTATGCCCACGTCGATGAAGTTGCAGATTTTGATCCCTCTGGAAGCCTTTTCCACAGATTTCACACAGAAATCTGTTGGTCGCCATAAGAGTCTTGGGAGATAGGGCTATCACTTCCGCTTCAGGATCTGTACGTACATGCAAAAAGCTGATTATGTTAAAAAGCCTTATAAGTTCGAAATAGTTATTAGAATACTCATCTGTGTATCAGACAGATAGACAGGAGTATATTCAAAGCTGATTACAGAATGATAAGGAAAAGTAAGAGAGAATCAGAGAAATTCTAGAGAAGATATATAGAACTTGCCAGGGTTCCCTGGGAGGTTTCTCTTTCTCTTGAGAACCGGAGGAGGATCGGTATTGTTAGATGATGCAGCGGTTGGTGGGTGGTTCTGAGGAAAGCCGATATTTGAAATTTCTCCGTCGTCCATCTTCTCCAACAGCATCTATAATATCTCAGCTCGTGTTTCTTCTTCTCCTTAGTTGTGAGAAACCCAGAAGAAAGTAAACAGTTAAAGCTGATGAGAAGTATTAGTGATATGATGACGAATTCATTTAAGAGAAGAAAACTTCAGAGAACAGGCAAGCTCTTTTAATTATGGCTTCCAGCCCTAAACAACACAAACTGATATAAGCAAGATGGGATCTCTCTGTCTCTTCTCTCTCTTCTCCTCTCCCTCCCCACACGTTAGAGTCAATTTAATTATCTGCTTTTTAGGTGGAATATTAAAAAAATTAAGATGCTATGGGAGGCGGTGAAAAGTTAAAGTAGAGAGAGAGAGAGAGAAGCAAAGGTGTATGATGACAAATATGATGAGGTCGGAGGAAAGTTAATCTCCATTCGGAATGATTGTCCCATAATTTGTTGCCTTATGTTTTCTTATTTTTCTAATCCATTCTCCTCTAATCGCCATTTTTTTTTTCAGGTTAAGAAAAAGGATCCCCACTATATACGTCTTCCAGATACACATAAAGATTAAGTTTACATGTCTTCAAAATGGACGAATATATAGCTAAGTTAATTGGAAATGGCGTATTATTATTGCACAGAACAGCTTATTATTCCCACCACTGCAATGTTATAATAACTTTCAGATTTGCTTTGGATTGTCTTCTAATTATATTACATAAGATTAATTAGAAGCTAGTTGAGTAGATTTACTTTATGCATATAGCTAGGCTTCCCGTTCAAATTAGAACCATATCTCTATAAATGAAAACTGGGTCTGCAGAATTATTGGCGATGTCCCTAGAAATTACAGTGCCAACTTGAATCACATACTTCTTTAAATGCAGTTTCTGTGTGGAAAAGAGAGAATCATTATGTCTCATATGTTTGAGTGTGACTGGAAAGAGAGGCCTATCCAATCACCAAACAACTTGCTCTTTAATGCTCATTTTCCACAAAAAGCAACATCTTTTGAGTCTTTTGAACTTAGTCAAAGTGAAAGTGCAAGTCATTTCCCGAAGAAGATTGATACACGCCAAAATGTTGAAAATTGCATGCAGGCCCTTTATATATAGAGAGCGAATTATTAATGGGGTTGAAACTTGAAATTGATAGCGAACAAAATATAGAATTTGGAATTATGCATATAAGATCGATGGTTTGGGATTAATATAACCTCAAAAACTGGTCTTAATGTTGGAAAATAGTAACTCATGCACGTGCGTCCATGCACGCACCAAGCTGTCAAGGAAGGTAAAACAAAAGGAAACGACGAAACAACACAGAAAAGGGAATAATCGTCCTCAAGACACACAAACATGACTATGTCTTACAATTGACTGGGTTTCTTGCCCACTTGGCTTCTAACATGTACACCAAAAAAAATTATTAATACTATAATTTATCACTACATATGTATATTACTGTATCTCATCACATAAATGTGATGATACCACCTATTTAGCACTCAAACTTACATATGGTTCTTTTGATTTCTTATTTATATATATACACACACACACAAGTTGAAGGGCCACAGAAGACTTTGATTGGGTGGTCAATTTTTGGGCGGTAGATTTATGTTTTTTTTTTTTTAACTTTATAGATAGCTTTACCCCAGCAGCTTTTTTATATGAACACTTCCTTTTAAAAAGATTTTTGAATAGGAAATTGGTTTAACCTATGGATTGGCGTCCTTCTAATGGGTAAATCACAGATACAGTGACTTATTATATAATTACTGCATAGTTCAGCAGATTAGGTAAATTAAAGTAATGATCATGGAACTATTTTGAGAGAGAGAGAGAGAGAGAGAGAGAGATGTACTGTTAGAGAAAGTCGATGAACAGCTTCTTACTCTACTTCCAAAAGATTATTCATAATTCATTTATTCCTTCGATATATACACCTGTCCCCAGCTAATCAAATGAATGAAATTAATTACACAAAACCTACTTTGAATTAAAGCACATTTCCTCATAATACTTTTATAATTCTAATCAAAATATCCAGTCAATATATATCAAGGCGGGCTATAAAGTTTCAACAAGAGAAATATTTATATGAAGACAGGGTACTCTTTTCCCCACCACACACACACACACACAGACTACAGCCTGAAGAAAAAGAAAGAAAAGAGATTGCTTAACCTCAACGCTATGTTGTTGTAGGCAATATATGTTCTGTAGATTCACATGTAGTTATGGGAATACGATAAAATCTTGGTTCTCGGAAGAGGCACTGCGTAAAGCAAGGGCTGCTTCTGTTTGAGTGTCAATTATTAATTGAAGTTTCAAATAGGATCAAATGTGTGTGTGTGTGCATAGATGATAAATATTTTAAAATGAATTTATATTTAACTGCTGTAGTTGCTATGAGGATTGATATACGAGTAGTGTCAGTATATAGCGTTTTATATAGAAGGAGATGGAAGGGAAGGAGTGTTAATTAACTAAAGAAGACAGCGAGCTGACAAAGGCAGTGAATTTTTGGAAGTGTGAGCAGTCGTCTGGTTGTGAGCTGACTTTGTTGGGTGATCAAATTGCGAAACCTTAATGATAATCTAATGATGTTTGTGTTTTTTATTGGGTTTCAAACTTTGTTTAATGTAAAACTTTTGGAGTTTAGTTGTTGAAGTGTTGCGACCACAGAATATTCTTCTCTTCCATCCCACCCCTAAAGGCTTCAACTTTCAATGCCTTGTGAGATTCCTATTCTCATCCTTCCCACAACCCCTCTCTCTTCTCTCTCTCTCTCTAGCAATTGACAGAGTTAGAAACAAGAGGCATTTGAAAAATGCATAGTGGTTAGGGAAAAGCAAAGTGTTGTCACCAAGGGTATGTTCGTTTCCATGTTTGTCCTTTTGTTTCTACACAATTTTTGAACTGTAAATTTCCTATTGCATTTTGCTGTCTGTATTTCAGTATTTGTTTTTTTTCCCCACAATATATTGTGCCACGTGTCGAGCATAACAAAACCCATAAAGCTTTTATCTTAGGAGGATGTTTGGTACGAGTTGCTTAATTGACACAATAACTTTTTAATTCTAGTAGTGACAAATATTTCCCAATTTCATGATTGATATAATTATTAAATTTATAATTATAATTAGATGTGAGTTTCGTATATTATCGTATTAAATTTGAGAAATGAGACAAGTTATTGTAAGCTTATAAATAGTAGGCTATGTTAGTGTCTTTATATTTTATATTGATGATTTTTTAATAAAGATATTTAATTTAAAATTTATGAGATATCAAACGTTTGATTATATTCTTTTCTTCTATCATTTGAATACTTTTTATGACTATTTGAATATATTTATTGTTGAATTATATAAGTGCTCATCCAGAAAGACAACGGTCGTTGATTTGACATTTTGATGGCTGGCGCTTGGCATTAATTATGTGCTCAATAATTTTGATAAATTGGTTAGTATCGAATAATAATATATATTTCCCTTCAAACATTATTCGATCTCGTTCTACAAAATGTATTAATGTGATAATTAAATTAAAGCACATACAAAAATATTAAGCTTAAAAAGTACGCGGGAATGTAAATAGTACTAAGGGTAATTTAGTGAATTCCGAATTCTCAATTAGGTCGATCTGGCTTAAATTAGTTGGAATTATTACCCAAAAGTTGAACAGATTTGGATCTAGGATTCCCATACAGAACCCCACATGCTCTCTGCTTATCAAAAGCTGGAAAATATGTGCCTTTTTTAACATTAATATGAAATTAGTCATTCTTTTCTTTATTATAATTCTTTATTATTTATTTTATTTGAACTCTTTTTAAACTTTTCAATTTGCAATACACGTGGCAGCATGTTACAGGAGTGCACTGCATTATTATTGAACCAAACGAACACAGGAAACAGTATAGGCACTTGGGAATGAATATTCTTTTGGATTTGCAATTTGTACTTTACTTTTCTACAGATATGAATGTTTTCTCTTTTCAATATGAATAATTGCGTTATTATATTGCATGGTTGGTTCTACACCCTAATATCAGCGTTCTAGAAAAACCTTAACCATTTTCATAAGTTATTTTCCTTTCTAATCCAAATAATTAAGCATTCTAATCCTAAGGCCACATTAACATTTCTTGTCAAGATGTTAAGTGTGAGTGTAAACTTAGCTATAATTTTAGGAAGTCTCACAGCACATAGAATCGAGCATACTAATATACGTAAATAATCAACAAGTATTAGTCGATACGGTAAGTGGTCTCACTTTCACAAGGAGACTCTTACTCCTCGAGTTAATATTAATCGGTTTCCCAGCTACTTTATCCATATTAAAAAGTCATATTCAGATTTGAGTTAAAATGTCATGGGTGTTCTATGTTGCTAACAATTGATCTTATACGGTTTTCATATGATGCTAAAGTATAGTTTAATATTTAAAATAACAAAAATCTAATTATAACATGTTTTGCCATAAGGTTAAAATTTATCCACCTCCTAAATTAATTTCAAGGGGGAAAGAACGCACGAAGTCATATATATACAGTACAAATATATTTTAATAGAAACGAAACTAGTATTGTCAAGGAGATGATGAGATGAGGGTGATTGATGTGCAATAACATGTCGTGGATAATCATGAAGTATAATACTCATATTGCGCTCCTTGTTCCTTAATCATTGATACCTTTTTGGTCAAATTTGAAAAAAGATTGATTATTTGTCAAGCAAAGCAACTCAATGCTGGATGCAACTTTCGTGCATATCTCCCAAGTTATGACACTTTGATCCCACCCATTACCTTTTTAAATAGGAAAAAAAACATACCAACATCAAGTTAATATAATAGCTGAACCACTTATTATATATATTTATGATTCTTTTTTTAGGAAAAAAAACTGACCAATAGGAATAGGATTATGTTCGTGGGTGTAGGCCGAAGATGCCAGCACTACGGTGTAAAATTGACTACCACTATCAATCAATATGTCATTTGTATATTTATATATCGTGCAGAGTTTTTTTATTAGATATAGACATTGATTTCAAGTAGAGCTATATTAATTCGCTCATTCTACCAGTTTAAGACTAGATTGACTAGTTCTTCATCATCAATTTTCTTTTTCCCAATTCAATATTTAATTTGGACTGAACCAAACATCGGTTCTGAATTCTCTCTGAAGGATTTTATCATCTGTTCTACCTTTGATTTTAAGAAAGCACAAAAGAACTAAAGCACACAGCTTCATCGACACTGGTAGCTATGTACTTAAGTGGACAAGTCTCTCCCTTTATTTATTTGCAGAGCTGAATAAAGAAATTGATATTGGTTTTGACACTAGGTGTGTATGTGGGTGTGTAGTTATCCCTTTATAGAGGGAAATATTGGTAGGGACCATCAACCCATGATGGATCGTGCATGTAATGAGAGACAGAGCAAATAATACCCAAATGAGAAATTATTTTATTCGTGAAAAATTCGAATAAAGCTTCATTGCTTATATATATTTTGGAAAACAAAAGATCATCATCATCTCTGTTTCTTTGTTCCTGCGCAGGTCACCATCACCGATTATATCATTCACTTAACATTCGTCCATTATTTTGAAGGCAAATATATACATATATAAAAGAACAAAGGTTGAGGACAATTATATATGTGTATATAAAGATCAAATCCCTTTGATTTATTTCTATTTTTATTTATCACCATTATCATTATTATCATTATTATTATTCAGCTTTCTTTGCTCATTGAATTATTAGCTAGTTTGGATCCATATAGGGAAAGCCACCAAAAAGACAGATTTTCAAGACCCTTCGCTTTAAGCAATTCAAAGGCAAAAGCAGACCCATCTTCCACTCCCACGCATGATTGATAGGTTTTTTTTTTTATAATTATTATTTAGAATAACAATTTTTCGTTTATAAAGAAGCATTCATGTTACTATATATGTTAGACTATTGGTGATTCATAAATATTATGTGATTTTACATTATTTTCTGTGTTTGATTAAAAAGTATAAGAAATTAATTAATGAATAAATCTCCTGATTTTTGCATATGCTTTATCTATACTTGTTCTAACTTTTTTACTGGACATTAATTATTTGTTTTACATATAGTAAAACTTATTCTCTCTTAATTAGAGGGAAGTTCGGCAACTCTCTATAATTATTTGGGAAAAAAAATTACGTTCACATAACTCGAGACAATTTTTTATACACTCGTTTCATATGTCGTAAAATTACTTTTAAAAAGCTAATCCAAACAATGGGCAGAGTACATCAACCAAATTTGCTCCATATAAATACTGAAAATTGAATTTCTAGCCATTTATTTTAGAAACAACTCATTTTCTCAAGAAAATTTTATAAATGCAATTAACATAGCTAATGATTTCTTAACATTGTGAGAAAATTTTGTGATTAGAGTACTTTTTAAACGAATATTTCAGTCAAATGATTTGCATTTGATTAGACAGAAAGAATAATAGGATAAATGTAAATAATAGAGATATTATATCTGATCTGAGTGTATTATATAACACGAAAATTCAAGAAAAAGAAACAAATGATTGATTATTTAGCACGAGAGAGGAATAAAAGTGTACGTAAGTGTAAAAGTGATGTTTGTTATTTACCTTAGTGCCAGAATGGAATTAAGTTGATGGTGGCCTCTAATAAACAATTAATTGGTGCTTAAAAAGTTTGGTTTGAACAAAACAGTATAATTAACACATATTTTATACAATAATGATCATATTCTATTATATTACATATAATGCCAATTGCCAAACATTCTTTTCATAGTTGGGTCCCCAAAATCCACTTGTCGCATGTGCTAACTCCTAACATATAATTCACAAATTAATTAATACTTATCAACTTCTTAGGTTGATGATTGTCCTAAAAGTATTTATAATAGTATTTATAATTCTTATAATAATTTCTTTCAATTACAATGAAACAACACCCTTTTACTTTTAAAATCAATGTACATATTTGCTAAAAATGAAATAAACTATATAAATTTTTTTGTCTTATTTATAATTTAATTTAAATGAATTTTTTATTGTTGGCAAAAGAATGATTTTTTTTATTACTCTTTGTAATTTTTTACGATTGCGTGCTTAAAATATATATATATATATATAAATATATATATATATATCCCATCCCATCTCACGACTCATGATGGCGATAGGAACCTAAAGAGGGTTTTTTTTTGGGAAAAAAGGGAAAATCATAACATGCTTTCGTTTTAGAGCTACGAATTTCTTTCTTCAAGGTAACGAATGCTAAGGAAAGTGACCATTATATAAGATGTGGTATAAGTCAATACTACTTCCGGTCCTAATTATAAGAGCTAGTTGACTAATTTGAGGAGATTAAAAAAAGAAGTTAAATTATTTATTTGTAATAAATATTTATTGTCTTTCATAAAATATCCTTATTAATCAAGTGTATTGGTCATAACTACTATTGTTAAAAGGACTACCTTGAAAAAAATACATAAATATGAGAGATAAAGTGGATTAGGATCTTATGTTTAGGACCAAAATAAAAGTTAAATAAGGTTTCATATTAAGGATCGGAGGTAGTATTATTATAGACAACACAATTAGATAAATCTGAATTGATAACGTTAAATTTGAAATTAAGATGTATAAAAAATTATTATTTTAATAATTATAATTATTTTCGAAATCTTGGTTGCATTTGTGCCTTTTTTTTTTCCCTTAATGTAATGACCCAACCCAATCCTAATCCTACTTTCAAGTTACAGCCCAGCCTGTTTTCGTCCAGTCTTCAACCATCACACACTGATGACGGAGCCCAGGATCCGAATCCGTATGCCCACTCGATCCAGTTCCGGCCCCGTACACAGAGGCGAGACTTCCACACGGTGTCGTTTGGTTGCTCCCTCCGTCTGGACCCCGTCCTCCTTCCTCCCGAAGAAAATTGATTCCAAACCAATCTCTGAAACCTAATAATCCTTTGATCTAAAGCCAGAAATCCTAATGAATTAAGTCCTCGATTAATGTGTTGTCTCTTGATTCCGATAAAGTTCACAGCTTATAGAGTAAAGTTATTTGCTTGCAATGGATGTGAAAGCATTGGCAAAATCAAAGAGGGCACATTCTCAGCATCACAGTAAGAGGCCTCATGGCAGTCATCCAAATCAGAAGCTTAAACCCTCTTCATCGGGAGGTTCAAATGATGCAAACACTGGTAAGAAGTCACCGGGCAAGCAGGTGAACGAGAAAGCCCATCGCTCTAAGGGCTCACCGGCGCTCCCCTCCAACTGGGACCGTTATGATGATGAAGAATTGGATGCTGATTCTGAACGGCTCTCTCTTGACAGTTCCAGTAAAACCTCTGATGTTATTTTGCCGAAAAGTAAAGGTGCGGACTATCGCCATCTGCTTGCTGAGGCTGAGTCTCAAGAAAATGCCAGTTTGGGTGGCGTTACTTCTCTGGATGACGTTCTTTCTGGTAAGTATTTTGCTTCATTACTCAGATGCTCAGCAGTGGGAATCAGATACCTTCTTGTTGCTCTGTTAGCAGCATTGTATTTGACATCTCTGTTTATTTCATCCATAGAGCATTACAACAACGGTATTTGGATTTTGTTTTCAACTTCTTGGACTAATATTTTCTTGCAGGGGAGTTCAATGAGGGCTTAAGTGCTATGCTTGCAGTCAGAGGAGAGGGCATTCTCTCATGGGTTGGGGACGATAATTTTGTTGTAGAGGATAAGACAAGTGGCACTCATGAGGTAACTAGACGAACGAAAAGATGAACTTGATATGAATGAATTCTTTGAGTAATTCACTCTCAATGTAAAGTAGATTGTTCTCATCATAAGTGTTTAAGGTTGTATAGATGATCTACTAAATGTCTGTTTTGGCATGGTTGTTATTAGTAAGATCACCAGGAGCTAGTTCAGCAATCCCGTTGAACCCCCTTAAAATGAGAAGGCCACTGATCACACGTTATTGATGGTTTAGGATTCAGAGTGCTGCACTTTGTGGTCTCCATATTGAAGTTTGTTGCTTCCAACATTATGTTTCGCTCATTTTAATTTTAGACTCCTCTTAGCTCCTGAAAGCGGGAGGCACCAGAAAAGCAGTTCAAGAATTAAGTGCGGTAAAGCAGGAAAGAAGCTAAAACTATTCTATATAAATAGAAAATAAGCAGGTATGAACAGTTGTGATAAGATTTGTCATATAAGGTAACTTTTCAAGCAAGACAATTTCGTAAAACAGTGCTTTTCGGAAACGTCCTCATCTAATGTTATTTTAAGGTGAATGACTAACAACCTAAATAATAATCCCTCTAAGTTTAAAAGAAAACAACTTTTACCTATTATTGGGACTTATGGTTTCCCCCCTATGTTTACATACTTATCGTTGATGCTGCTACATGTTTGAAGGCCCCTAATCTCAGTGTTTATAGGCGCTTGGATAGAATGCCATTGACTGCCCTCATTTATTATATGTCAAGCTCCAATCATTCACATCTGGCTTGACCTTGTAATTCCCTTTCAACAGGGTGATTTTCTTCACCATAAGTCTTCATATTGATTGCTAATGTATGTTTCATTCATAAGTATAATTATGCAAGTCATTTTTATGTTCCCATCCTGTGCTTGTTGGATTTTCAAAATTGTGAAGGTACTATCTGCTTGTGGGATCTCTTTCTGTTTGGTTTTCTATAACGTAATATTTTCAATTGTTTGAGTGGATGTATGAATTCTTAGAATTGTAGCGCCAGCTAGTAATTGTGAGTGTGGCCTGTTTAAGAATTGGTTTCTAGGCAATTGACTCAAAGATTAATGTTTGTTTGAATCCAGCTTCCTGATCTTTTTTGAATTTATGACCAGATGCATTCTTATTTTTGTGTGTCTGTTTCCTCCTTTTGTTGGTTATCCTCAGATTCACATGCTGATGCATCCATAAACCAAATCTGTTATCCCTGCTTCTACCATTCCTTTCCAAGAACTCTCTTAATATTTGGTATCATTAAACAGGAGGTGGTATCACTGACGCTATTAAGGAAATTTTAGTTTTTGAGTGCACATTGCCACATCTCAGGATAGTTCATCGGGATATTCAAAGGGCCCTTTTTTAAAAAATAAATTAGCTTTGCCTGCATAAGATTATAATTGGGTGTAATAGCTTTGCCATGTTAATTGAATTAATGGCTATACTCATTGTGCAACGCCTTGTAATCTTATATTCTTAGCTCATTTTCCTACAAGTTATTGCCTCACTTGTAGTTGTTACCTTTTTTTACCAAGTTTCTATTGTCCCGCAGGCATCATTTCTTTCGTTGAACCTGCGTGCTATAGCTGAAAATCTTGCAAAAGTTGACTTATCAAAGATACTGTTCATTGAGCCTGACTTGTTACCCCCGGAGCTGGTATGTTTGGTCTCTGATTAACGGATTTGAACTTGAAGTTCAATCATGTTAATTGAACTTCATATCCAAGAACTTTCTCTATTTTTGGTAGCATATTTTGCTGCTGAAATTTACCAACATAGAAATAACACAACGACCACTTAGAGTGTCAGAAATGAAGGGTATAAGTGATGCATAATCTGCAAACTTCATATGAGGTTGTTTTGGTTTATTGCAGAGGGCCAAAGACTCTACAGCCAGCAGCAATGAACACCGGGCCACACTGCAAACTACAGAGTTAGCTGAAGAATCTAGTTTAGATGATTTTGCTGCGGGTGATGAGATTGCAGATCGGTTTACGTCATCTAGTTCCTGTGGTAGCAGCCAAGTTGCTTCAACCCTTCCATCGGCTGATGATATTGGTGTACCAGTAAATTATGTTGAAGCTGAATGTGGGCGAATTCACAGTTCAGACCAACACAGAGTACTTGATCCCATTTCGGAAGTTAATTTATCTTCCACTGAAAATCCTACAAGGGAAGTCTCAACATTCGAGGCTGCTGATGCAGAAGATGAATTAGATATGCTTCTTGGTTCAGTTAGTGAGATCAAGATTAAGGACTCTCCTGGCTTTACTCCCAATACCTCTTTTCCTGTTTCACGAGGAACCTCTGCTGTGAGTTCACAGATTCTTAATAAGGAACCAGATTCATCGAAAACCATATCAATTGCTGCCAGTCTTGATGACGAACTGGATGACTTGTTGGAGGCAACATCCAAAGTGATGAAGCCAAACGCTTCATTACATCCACTTGAAGAAAAGCCTGTTCTTCATGGCACACAATCTTCTTCTTCTTCTTCTTCTTCACATTCTAAAACCAACGCTAAAAGCTTAGATGAATTAGAGTCATGGTTAGATACAATGTGAGCGAGGTTGTCCTTTAGTCTAATGTAGAGCCGTTGAATTTTGAAGTTGTTACAACGTGGATGAAGTTCTTGATGAACTTGGAAAATGACCTGCTATCTTCAACTGGAAGCGTCTCGTGATCGTCCCATTGATCGTACATTTGACTCTGTAATCATGAGGTGGAGAACTGATACCCCGTTGCTTTTCAGCCAATTGATTGCAGTTACGGTTGCTTCTGAATGAATTATGCCTTGCAGTACTAAAATCTTGATGGCGAAATTTACCAAACTGGAGAGTATTGTGAGATCATCATTTCGCATTCCCCGCCAGCCTTGGTATGTTTGGCTGACGTGTCTTAGATTCTGTCGTCTGAAGAAAAAGTAGGGGAAGAAAAAAGAATACTACCCAAGGTTTTTCAGTGATTGCAATCATGATAAGATAGAAACTTCGTACAACGAGGCTGGTAGGAATTTGGAATATCACGCTTTTGCCCTAATTTGATGGAGTATAATGTTCACATTCCAAGACATCGCTTCTAGTTTTGTGTTTTGAAAAATTATATGAGGGGTGTTTGGATTTTGGAGTCTGGAACTTTATCACATAATTTCACCCTTATTATTTAGGCTAGATGGCTTCTTTTTTTTTTTTTTAAAAACCTTGGGTTATATATTTATGGAAGGTTTTAAATTCTTGACTATTACACATATTTCATTTAACCTTGCCACGTGAGTTAGTCTTGTGTATTAACACTAGCATGATGATTCTATTGAGCTTGATTACTCGTGTTTTAAATTAAATAATCCGTTAATTTCTCTTATAAAGTAATTTTTCTAAGTTTTTATGTATTTCAAATTTCAATTCAAACATTTTCCCCCAGAAAAAAGGGGGGATTTTAGTTCGACCCTTGTCAATATGCTAGAGTGGACTAAATCCATGGACTGTGGATATCGGAATTGAATGAGTTGTATTGTTCATAATTTATAAAAATTACTACTTCCAGTATTTAATACTACCTCCCCTTTTTAATATAAGATTTAATTTAATTTTTATTTTGGTCTTAAATATAAAATCTTAATTTATTTTGTCTCTCATATTTATATTTTTTTTCCAAATAGTCTTTCTAATAATAATAGTTCTAGCTAATACACTTGATTAGTAAGGATATTTTAGGAAAGACAACGCCTATTTATTACAAATAACTAACTTAACTTTTTTTCTTAATTTTCTCAAATTAGTCAACTAGCTTTTATAAATAAAACCTGAGGTAGTATAAAAGTTGGTTGATTAATTTGAGTAGATTAAGAAAGTTTGTTAAGTTATTTATAATAATTAGGCGTCCCTAAATCCTAATACTCTTGCTAACCATATATATTAGTTTTAGCTACCATTTAATGAAATTTTTAACATGTGCAACTATTACAAGGACTACTCTAAAAAAATAGATAAATATAAAAGATAAAGTGGATTGAAATATTATACTCCTCCGATCCTTAATATAGGACCTAATTATTGAGTTGATTTTGATCCTAAATATAAGACCTATTTATCATATTTATCAGTTTTTCTTAAATTACCTCTATAAATATTCCTTCAACCATAATCAAGTAGAAGAGGGAGGGAATTATAGTATTTTAGAAAAACATATCATATCTCTTATAATTAACTATCTTATATAATTTTCTTAATCTAATCAAATAGTTAAATAGGTCTTATATTAATGATCGAAAAAATATTTAAGATAAAATTAAAAATCAAACTAAATTTTATATTGGGCACAGAAGGTAGTAAACTTTTCATATATACATTTTTATTCGACCTACGCGACTTCAGGGATTGCTAAACTGCATTTTATATTATCATTTTTATTTATCTCTTACATATAAAAGACACTACCTCCCATTCTTAGCATTAATATAGAGCTTGTTTAACTTTTAGTTTAATCTTAAATATAAGATGTCAATCTATTTTGTATCTTATATTTGTTATATTTTAAAAATGGTTCTTATAATAGTTGCATACATTAAATATTTCATCAAATAATACTTGATTAACAATGATATTTTAAGAAAGACAATATCTATTTATTACAAACGACTAATTTAACTAATTTTTTTAATCTACTAAAATTAGTTAACTAACTCTCGTATTAAGGATTTGAAATAGTATTAAGAAGAGACATGATTGATTACATTAATCAAATTTAATTAACAATTAACAAATGGTAACGAAATTAGAGCGTTTAAATTTATAAGCACTCCACTAATTAATTACAAATTTCTAAATTCAAACAACTGACTTAAAATTATTAGGAAAGTCATGAAAATTAGTAAAGTTAACTCTCTTTCTCTCTCTGCTTTTTTTTTTTTTTTTAAATCTCTAGAGAAAACGCGGAGTCAGAGCCACAGAGCGCCTGCATCCTTCAAGATCGGAATCAATTCACCGGAGATATGAGTGGCCATGAGGCGATCCAACCCTCCGAACAACTTGCCGCCGATAAACACCGCCGGAAACTGTAGCTTCCCCTGTTTCCGATCACCAATCGCTTCCAACTCTGTAACAACACCTACTTCATCTTCCTCATCTATCTCATACACCGCCGGATTCACACCCAGCCCAAGAAGCAATCGCTTCACGACATGGCCCATACAGCATCCACGCCTCGCGAACACTATCACTGCGTTCTCTGACACCATGTTCTTCACCATTCCCTCAGAACTTCCTCTGGAAGGCAAAGAAACAGAGGATGCTGTGTTATTGTTCAGACTATGGCTGAAATGGGAATGATGGGGAAGAAGAGGTCGCCATGACGACTGGTAAGGAATTGCCTGTTGCATATCTGCGTAAGAATGCCTCAGAGAGAGAGAGAGAGAGAGAGAGGGATTGGGGTTGTGGGGATGAAGGGAGGAGACGAAGAAGGGTATAAATGGAGGGTCTGATGAGATGAGTTGAAAGAGTCGCTGAGGTATCCGTCAACGCCAATTACGCAAATACTTCCCAGCTAGTGACATATTACGCGGCCTTGCTTTCGTCATCTTGGCTCCTCATGACGTCACTTATTCTGTCCTTTTCCTCCGTCTGGCCATTTTTCCATCCGACTTTTGTACACCCTACTTTAATTTTTTTAATTAATGTTCATCATCAAGTTCTCTTGACGTGAGTATGAACTCCTGGACCAAAAAAAAAAAAGAAAAGATATGAATATGATCACAACCAAAGCATGAACTTTCTAGATTCGTGTGTAAAAATAAAATACATGTAATAAAAATAGTATCATTAAAATAGATCTTATATTTAGACCGGAAGAGTATTACTATTTGTACCAATTTAAAATTTTGAACATATTACTTCCGTTATAAATATAAGAATTATTTTGGTTTTTAATTGATTATAAATATAAGACTTCAAATCTATTTTGTCTTTTATATTTATTTATATTTTTTAAAATAGTCTTTATAATAGTTACACATATTAAATATTTTCTAACTAATACACAGAATTAATAAAGATATTTAAAAAAAAATCATACCTGTTTATGACAAATAGTTAACTTAATAAATTTTTTTAATTTATTCAAATTAATCAACTATCTTTTATATTAAAGACGTGAGGTAGTATTTATTACGTGAACGTGAATTTTGTGTAATTATACTTTTAAAGATTATGTTTTTTTTTTTCCTGGACCAAATCTACAAGCTCCAGATAAGAAGCATGAGAGATAATTTAACTGGGAGTTCTAGTCAGAGTGGGAAAAAAGAGATCACATGCAAGCAACACAATTTGGGTTGTTTCGTAAGTTGCTAATATTATTACTATTTGGACGGCGACCCACTTGCCCTGATCTTATTGTCCGTGCACGCGAGTTCCGGGCCGAACTCGCGGGACCTGGATCCCCTCTTATTGTAGGGTCCCCCCAGCCTCCCTCCTGTTATTATTATTATTATTATTTAGTTTAAATGACACTTGAATTTATAAATTTCCAAATAATCACTTAAATTTGTAAAATCTCAAATTAATCATAATGATTAAATTAGAATTTAAAAATATTGGCAAATTTAAGCCTTTTGTTTTTTTGTTATTTTTAAACCCTCAAGCCACCATCAGGTGGCCCCCCGTTACCGAAAATTTAAATAATTATTTGAGATTTTATAAATTTAAGTGTTATTTTATTAGAATTTTTTTCAAAGTAAATTCTAATTTTTAAAATAAATTGCTAAAAAAATAGAAGCTGAAAGGTGGGAAGGAATAGAAACTAGAAAGCGACATAAGGCAAAAGGATTTACCCATGTATGCTTGTTTAGCTGCTTCTGTTACGCTTTATGAGATAAGATTTTTTTTTGGTATACATTTACTTCATATTTTATAAAATTACTTAAAATAAGTTAATTCTAATATTTGATTGGATGAAAAGAAAATGACAAGGAGGCAGCTGGAGGGATGTAGCGTAGCAGAGGATGGCATTTGGAAATTGGAATTTACGCTACTTAAAATCTTTCTTTATCTCGTTGTTGTTTTGTAATTTTGGTCAATGTGCTCATTATTCTTGGGTACACACCTACACATATTATATTATTCTTCTTCTTTTTTCCCCCTAACATGTGAGCTGTACTTACCAAGCTATCGCCAGCGGCCAACACTGGGTATGGTCCAGCCAACTCTCAATCATGACATCTGCCTTATCCAAATTAAAATTCCTTTAAAAAAGAGTCTTACTTCTTTCATTTTTCAAAAAAATTTATGTTATCATCTGGATTGGATTTAACAGAAGGATTAATCCTTCGCAACATGATGAACTAATATTTGAATCCTCGTTTGAAAAAGTACTCATATTTAGTACCTGATAGTATTTCAAATAAGATTATCTCTAATAGAAGGATATTTATGTTTAGCTAAAAAAAGAATTATGTTGAGCCATGATTTCATATAAACCTTATATAATATATTGTCCTTTTAATCTCAATCTCCCTAATAACTAAGTGCGCGAAAAGTTGAAACCTCGCCAACTTTTTTCTTCTCCTTGGGTTTTGTTTGGTTCGACGGAAGGGAGGGGAGGTTAATTAGAGGAAGAGGAGAGGAAGGGAAGTCATGGTTTTGTTTGGTTGGAAGGGAGAGAAGGGGAGGTAATTATAAATTAACAAATATGTCCTTATCTCTATATTTAGACTGATTTATTTTTTTATTACAATATTTATGTCAAAATTATTATTTCTTAATTTATCAATTTTAAAAAAACCAATTACCTCACTTACATGTGATAAAAAAAATAAAACTAAAAAAATTAGAAAATATGATCAAAAAAATTTAATATTCTATCTCATTAATTTTATAAATATATGTATTAATATATATGGTATGTATAGATTATATAATTATAACACGCACGTTATGATATATTAATATATATGCATGTTATCTGAGATTATAATACAGATGCTATGATATATAATTATAATACACACATGTGATGATATGTATATACTAATATATATGATATGTATATATTATAATATTATAATTATCAAATATTATTAGTGGCTAAAAAGAGAAAGAAGTGAAAAAAAGATTTTTAATAAGATAGACAAACTTAGAATATTGAAAAGTTAGTATGGGTAATTTGATTAATGTTAGATATAATATTTCTCTCCCCTCCAAAAAACTCCAAATTTAGAGGGGAGCATGGGGAGAGGAGGGGAGTACTAAAAGACAAATTTCTTTCCTCTCCTCTCTTTTATTTTTCCCAACCAAACAAAGCCTTAGAGACCTAGGGCGCTCTTTGATTTTACTATAAATAAGTGTTTTTAGGTTTTACCATATAAAATTGTTTTATATATATATATTTGCTTTGCACACCTCAAAATTAGTTAAAATCAGTTGATCCAAAACAAATACATGCATTAAAACATAGGTCTCAACTAATAACCAAACGTATCTAATTCTTGACCCAGTCATTATTTACCAGCAACACTACTGTGTCCGGTCCTAAATATAAAAATTAGATAATAAGTTTTAAATATAATATTCTAATTTTTTTGCTAAAATATTTTCATTCGCTGCGCATACTCCTAATCAATGAGTAGTTTAGAAAAACCAAGTCATTTTTGTTAGGAATGGAAGGTAGTAATATTGTAATAGTGTTTAGATTTAATTAAAATGTTTAAAAGTAATTGAGGTTGTTTAATTAGTTATGAATGATTTGATGGCATTCCCATCAGGAGCTTATCGCAAAGGAGGCAAAACGACAACGTGAGCAAGCAGGAGGAAGCTTCGTTTTGGTTTGAGAGGGCATGATGACTCATTAATGCTAAGATGGCCCTCCACGTGGCACAGTAATGGTGAATGAGACACAGGGACGTCGGCAGCCGAACCTGTCGCCGTCGGTATGAGCCAGCTAAGCATCCGGTGAGCGGAGCGCTGTGCTGTGCTGTGAGCGGTGATGTGGAGGAATGTGGGTCCCACGTTACCGGCCAAGGAAGATTCCTCGTAGGTGCCGCCATGACTTGGATGATGCCACCTCCACGTGATCCCCACTTAATCCTCACCGGCTCTTCTTCCCCATGCTTCCTATGACATCAAGCAGTGAATTTATTCATGCTTCTTTATTTATTTATTAAAAAAAGTAAACTACATATAAGAAAAAAGGGTTACGGTATAATTTTAATCTTAATCTTATTTTTTAAGTATAATTTTTTCCTTGATGACTCTTTTTTTGTGTAATTTTTTGGGGTCAAAATTGCACTAAAAAAATCTGAGGCAAAATTGCACTCAAAACAAAAGATCAGGAGTAAAATTACACTACTAAAAAATTATGAACAAATTTATACCTAAGAAATAAGATCAAGGTTAAAATTGCATCTTAACTCCAAATAAAAAACTTCCCTAAATTTGAAAAGTACGTACAAATAAACTTTTTTTAAGTATTTAAAATTTAATAATAATGAATTAATGAGAATGCAGCATTTTTTTTCCAACAATGTGAATGCAACACAGGTTGTACGATATGACTTTTTAACAATATGATTAGTTAATAAACATGAGTGGTGCATGAGTTGTTGTACAGTCTAACAAACGCCATATAGGTCTATTTTAAGCTTCACAACAAATGATTTCATTAAAACCTTACAATACAATGTTTTAAAATTATTTCTACGTGTGGTTCATTGAAAATCGGCGGAAGAGCATAATTAAGAGTTAGAGACTTGTGAAATAAGAAGTGGTAAAATATGCCAAACTCTTAATGAATAATATTTGAAGTTATTTAATGTAATACTTTAAATGAATAATCGATGCCCAAAAAAAAACTTTAATTGAATAAAAATAGATATTCGTGGGTAATAAAAAATGTTCCCACAGTTTACACGGAACATAAAAATATCCTAATAATAAGCCATGACGTGGGACAATATAATCAAAGAGCAAGCCTTTGTCCAAATATCAATCCACCGTCACACTCTTACACACACACACACACACAAAAAATATATATTTCTCGACGACATCAATGCTGAAAACACGACATGAACCCTTAGGGGGGAAAAAATCTAATTTTGATGTGTCAATTTTGTCTTTAGTTCTTCTGAAGCATACCATGAAGTGTTCTTTTCTTTTATATTCTTCTTTTGCACTCAGTCATTTTTAACATACTTTTTTTTAATGCCAAGAAGATAATGTCATAAATTTAACACTAGTAAGAAAATGAGGAAAAATGATACTACCTCCACTTTTAAATGCAAGACTTCTCCTTTCTGCAATTGGAAAAAACAGCAGATTTTACTCAGCACAACCTAACGATGCATCCAATACCAATGATCTGTGCCTAGAACGCGTTGCTAGATCTTTGCTCTAGAAAGCTATGTTGTAAGGAAGAGGAGGCCCTTGTCATGGTGAGACACTGAGACTTTTGCTTGCTTCTATGATAAGGGGAAGGGGAGTGGGGAGGAGGGCTCCTTCAAGGCTAATCCATCTCTCTCCAAACAAGAACTCCCTTTACAGTTTATTTTCTCTCTCAAATTTATAATTTATTTATTAAAATAGTCTTATTAATTATATATAATAAAAGGGTTTTTATGAAGAGATATATTATATATAATTAATAATTTTACGTAACTTAATTCAACGTTATTTAATAATGAATGAAAGGTAAATGGGCACATGAATGAAAGGTAAAGGGTCAATCCTCAGATTGTGAGGAGGCCAGCCCACAATAGCATTTATTTCAAACGGCAATGACAGTATAACATGCGAACTCTTCTACACGTGGGACTGTGGGAGAGTATGACTTCAATCCTACTTAACCTCGAATCATTAGATTTTAATTGGCGAAAAACAAGCTTCTTATTGGCGCGCGAACTTCCTATCTCTTACCTATAAATTTAAACGCGAGACGTACAACAAAGTTGAATCTAATTTGCAACAGAGTGAAGCAATTTTCCGGGAAGAATTCAGAAAGCTGCCAGAGGGTTCGGCAAGAAGCAAGAAACATTTATTTAAAGCACATTCTCGTGAATTAATATCCTCCAAGGAAATTGGAGAAATATAATAGAAAGGAAATAAAGATTAAACCAAAAAAGTAACTAAGCTAGCTGAATCCCTTTCATTTTGTGTATGCTTAACACGTTAATATCAATCAATCCCTCTACCAAAAGTTCCAAAAGGCTCAAACACATTCCACGCTCTTGAATTCTTTGCACTTCAGTCATCACATTCTAAACATGGTCGACCAAGTCATTTTTTGACTGGCTCCAAATTCATCTCTTGAAGATTCAGCAACAGATCATCTGAATTGAGGTAAACCTTGTTTGCTGCGTTTGATATTGTGTGAGCAATTTCTCTTGCAGCTTCTATCTTCCTCAATGTGATAAAAGCTGGATTATTGGCAATAGCTTGTCCAATCAGTTGAGCACTCTTTGCTTCTCCCTGGAGATTTAAAAATGCAGAATTAGTGGCCGACTTACAGTGTAGATCAAGTTCTTACGAAAGTTTTTTTTTTTTTTTCGGTCGGAGTAGCTGTATCACTGAAAATTTTGGAACATCTTCTCACCTGTGCTCTAATTACAGCACTTCTTTTGTCTTGCTCAGCCTTTTCCACAACAAATTTAGCTCTCTCCGCTTCTTGAGCAGCCACCTGCTTGGCTTCAATGGCTGCTGTAAATTCTTTGCCAAAGGTCAGGCTGGTAATTGAAACATCATCTAGGGCAATATTGAAGTAGGATGCCCTCTCAGTCAAGATCTTCCGAATTTCCCTACTAACAGCCTGAAAGAAATTAAGTTCAAGTCAAAAAAATTTTCCCCTCTAGCATTAGAAAAAACCAAAATTAACTTACTAACATACATCTTATGAACTTGCAAGGAACTAGAAAGAACATAAACAGGAACATCCTTACCTAGTTCTAGTAATAAGTACCACCACCATGGTTAAAGAATATAAATCATATAATATTAATGAGAAATGAGAAATAATGAATAGAATTCAGAAGAATTTTTCAATTATTGCCTCTTGTTGTGGCCACTAGGCTTACTGTTGCAAAAGAAGCAAATTATCAACGACATTTAGATGCTGCCAAAAAAGGAAGCAGACATCTTAATAACTAATAACCTTCATTGATCAAATAACAACTTGAGTTGTAGTACTAATAAGCTTTGCTTCTAACCTCTCTCTGCGTGATAAGCTGGCTGGCATTGTATTGTGCAACAACAGCTTTCAAAGTTTCATGAATGATTGAAGGCAATACCCTTTCATTAAAATTCTCACCAAGTGTTCGATAAATTGTAGGCAGTTGATCAGGCAAGGGGCGAGTAAGAACACGAAGCCCAATTTTCACCTGCATATCAAAATAGAAATTACAGTTACAAGTAAATTTAATACACACACAAGAAATCATCAAAGGACGGAAAAATCCCTCCCAAATTGGGGGTGGGGATGGCGTAAACAGTCATTAATCACATTGAACCCCCTAAAAAGGATAAATGTTGAAAAATGTCAAGAGACCAGATTTACCAAAAAAAAAAAAAAAAAACTCCCCAAGATGTAATAGCCAAAAGTTTCACATTTATACTCGTTAAGCTCTTCAAAAAATAAAACCTCTGCAACAACTATTTAATTCAAATTTCTGTAAAAGCAAGCCTATCTGCCACCAATAAAAATCAGATAGTATGATAAAAACTTTTAAACACTAGGGCAAACTCACCATATCGAAACAAAGTGTTGTCCTCAACAAGAACAGGGTTTAAGTAGCATTGAAGAAATCATGTAACTCGTGATTATATACAGGACAGTGCAACTATGTCAATAAGCACATTCACTTTCTTCCTCCCTCCCTCCCTTTCTTTTCTAATTGAGAAAGAAAGAAGATAAATTGGTACTTCGGATCAACACTATAGTTAGTCTCATTAGGCTTGTAAAGTTGTTGCATCAGATGCCTTAAAGGGGCAGGGAGGGAGGGCAAAAGAGGAATTGGGCTAATAATTCAGTCATCTTGTGAGTTATAACTAATTTTTAACTATTCTAGGTCGTGGAATCCTTTGTGATGTTCCATTCGTCAACAAATTTAAGTTAAATTAAGTTTATATTTACTTGTACACACACACACACACACACATCTCTCTATAGAGATCCAAAATACTTAAATGCCAAATACTAAAAGGAAAAACATACAGAGAGATAGCCATGTTCTAAAAAATAAATAAATGATAAAGTTTCATGACAAATTGCAAGTAAACATAAAAAAATTACCATCTGGAGATCGTGACTTCCTGTTGTACTTTCAACCAGATGAGGTCGTGCACGAACATCATATATTACCGGCCTTTCAAACCATGGGATCATGAAGTGTGTTCCTTCAGGATAAACCTGAATGTCAAAGAACATTTTGATCACGTTATAGAGAACAGAACTTGAATAGCGCGGAAAACCTTATCCACGACCAAACTTAAATGAAATCAAAGGGAAAGAACAGATGCTCCCTTGAAATATACCAAATAATCAAATCACAGCAACAGTAAAAGATCCAAAGAACAGGACAATGATATCTCAATGCTGTCTTCTAAGCCACATTGACACCGTTATTATGCATTATGGTTATTCAGATTTCGCAGGGATGACATTAGATTTCAGTGTGTTGAACAGCATTGGATGTGAATTAATTTACAAAATGATGCCCAAATTAACAATTGAACGTGGATGATAATTCGCAAAACAATAAATGGATTTTCCATGGAATAAATTAGAAGTGCTGAACAACCTTGTCCTTAACACCGACAACACGGTTGAAAACAATAGCTCGGTGACCTCCCTCAACATTGTAAAGACTGTTGGAAACTGCATACAAGCCAAGGCCACCAACAATCCCCAGTTTAATAAGAGCGGAGGCTGCGCCACCGCCTGGAACGTTTGGAACTTTCATGTTCTTCAAATTCATTTTCTAAGCTGAAGAGAAATTTACAGATAGATATGTTAGTTCAACTTCACCAGCTACATTTCTACATTTACACAGCACTGAAATATGCCATGTGCAAATAGAAGCTAGGAAAAAAAATAAAAATACAAGAAAAACAGCAGGAAAAAACACTTCAAAACAAACTTTCAGAAAGTTATCAACTTCTATATGCAATAATCGCTCAATAATTCTTTTTCCGACATTTCTTGCACAGAAGAGAATACAGATCGAGAAGGGGAAAAGTGAAAAAGCAAACGGAAATGTAGAACGCCGGTCTGTGTACAATGTTTCTCGCCTACAATGAAGAGACAGGAATGAAGGATCTTGCAGGTCCACAAAGGAAACGCACCTAATTTACGAAAGGAACCCACAATGTTTGATTTATTTAAAGAAATTTCTCAAGAGTCAAACAGAAAATAGCTTAATGGTTAAGAAAAAAGGCATGGAAATCGCAGGGAAGAAATGATACCTTGAAATCGCACTCTGAACTATATGACGGCAAAGCTCAAAGAAAAGCTTCCGGTGAAGCTGAACCTGTAGGGTTTAAACTCGGGTGCGACAAAAGCGAAGAGGGTTTAGGGGGCGAGGGTAGGAGAGTCACGGGGGCCAGGTGGCGTTCAGCCCATTAATAGCCCATTGGCCCCTCTCTCAAGCAGATTAAGCTCAGATATAAAAAAAATAAACAGGTAAATTATGTGAGTTATTGAAGATTAAATGATGATTAATAATAGAATTAATAGATTAGCTCGCAAGTAATTTTTTAAATTTTATAATATAGAAACAAATTTAATATTTTAGAAAATTCAATAATAGATTTTATAAATATTAAATGCAAAAAACCTGAATATTCAAGAAAGAGTGTTGTCTTACAATTAAATTTGGACGAGCGAATTTTTTATACATTAATTATGGTGTCATCAATCTTGCTATTGACGCTTTTAATTTGATTTTTAATTGTAAATTCCACTTATTCTAATTTTATTGAAAAATTATTTTTGTTAGTTACACATTTTTCTGCTTTTCTAATTTGTATAAATAAATTTACGTAAAGTGAAAGCAGTTATATGCTCATACTCTTTTCGGGGAAAATGACATCTGTGATCTTCCTTGGAAAGGAATTATTAACATACTGATCTCATGAGAAAAAAAAAAGAGCTAATTTTTTTTAAGCTAAAGCATATATTTGATTCTTTAACTTACAGAATATCTCAATTTGATCCTTTAACTTTAACGAGCACACATTTATTTTTTTTAACTCTAAAATTGTTATACTTAAATAATGATTTTTTTTGGGCAATAATCATAGTTGTTTTAAAAATTAAATTTAATATATTAGCATTTGAGAATATTTTATTAACATTTAAGATTTCAATATCATTCTATTTTGTAGATAATTTTAGGATAAAAGTGAAAGGACTAAAAGTATACCTTTTAAAGGTAAGGACCTAAATTAAAACTCTCTATAAAATTAAAAGACTAAATATCTATTTTAGTTTTTTTGTTAATATAAGGCCATGGGAAGTCCTGTGTGCAGGAGAAACACAATCAATCCCGGTCAGTAATTAGCCAAGATACACCCACCAAGTCCAAACACCCCCTTCTCCTCAGCATAAAGTTGCTTGCTCCTAGTTTTCCACATTCAGGAGTATTTAAATTAATTTTTTAAAAATGTCTTAATTTATATAAAAATATTTTTTTTAAGTGCTTTTAAGCGTTGCGGAGGAGACCGACAAACATGTGCCAATAGCCCTCTCAGATGGCATGCATTTTTTTTTTTTTTGGGTCCAAAAATGATGCATTAAACAAAACGAAAGATACCAACAGTTCAGCCTATGCCCTCTCTACAGTTCGTCCTATCAGCAGAAAGCAAAAAACAAAAGAGGGGAAGTGAAATGGAGATTAAATTGCTCGAGACGCTTCACAGCTGCCAGTGCGCGTGATTTTCTCAAAGGAAACCGGCAAGTGAGTGGAAGGAGTATATGGACCATCGTATGGAAATTGAAGAGACTAGATTACTGTGGTACTGCTATGGCAGAAGCATGGGGAGTCTTTGAAGGACTTCAACTTTGCTGGGAACTTGGCTTTCGGAAGATCGAGGTTGAGAGCGATGCTCTCAAAGTAGTGGAACAGGTCCAACAAGCATTTAATTAACAGTTCACAAAGGGAAGATATTTTTCACAGGATCGCAGATTTAGGCATGTGTATGGACCAGTCGTTGTGCGGAATTAGTTTTGTGTCAGGATCAACTAGTGCGCATTTGGAGGACCCCGTTGTTTAGAATTTTCTCCTAAGATTACTGTTACGTACAGAGAAAGTAATTGATTTTTCATAAAAATGAGATATAGAAGATGGAAAAAAAAATGTATATGGTATTTTCATTAATGATAAAATAAGAGATGAAGAAAAGAATGAACAAGTCATCGCACTAGTTCTTACTTCTTAGGATCTTGACTTTGAATTTTTCAAAGTATTTTGTTATAAAATCTAAAGAAATAAAAATAAGAAAAATCACACACACACACGCACACAATTTCATTAAGATGCTGTGCTACCTTTTTTCCCCCTTAACAGTGCTCACAACTATTCAACGAATCATTTAGTGACAAACGCCATGAATGATATCCATTCATTTTTCTTTTTTGAAATAAACGATTTTATTCTTTACTATCATCTAAAGTTTATAAGAAGAATGCAATAGCAGGTAAAGAAACAGAAGCAGAAGACGAGAAGAACACGATAGATATCTGCAGAATCTTTTTTCTACTTGGGACCAAATATTCGCGGTATAATCAAACCAGGTACAAACAGAAGCAGTAAATTAAATACAAAGACCAATGCTCGGCGTAGATGTACATGTGCCAAGGCCCCCAAAATAGCCCCTTTTTAAATCACCCAGGAATCAAATGGAAGAACTTATTATACAAAAAGAAGGAAGAATAGAACAGAAGAAGAAATCACGGTAGGAAATGAAAGATAAAAGATTCTCGTGAAATAAAGAACGCGAGTTCCCATCTTCATCTTTCTTGCTTTTTGCTCAAAACAGGGCAGCCATGCAAATCAACCCAAGCCCAACAACCGAACCCATGCCCAGATTCCTTCCAATTGCGCCATTCTTATCCTCCGACGAAGCTGAAGTCGACGACGGAGCCGAACCGTCGTCGCTGCTTTCACTCTTTGTCGCCGGAGACTTAGACGCCTTCGGCGATGCAGCTGGAGCCCCAGACTTAACTCCGAAAAGCTCCTCGGGGAGCAACACCGAGTCCACCTGATAAACCGCAAGAGGGAAACTCTGCCTCAACGCGTTATTAATAGCTGTCTCCACCACTCCGGTAGACACATTGACCTGGTTCCCCTGGCCGGCGAAATTAAGCCCCCAGCTTCCTTTGCTGCCGGAAGCTTGGGTCCTGACGGGGTTGCTAACGGTGAGAAGGTCATTTAGGGAATAATACTTGGGTGTAACGTGGTAGAGAATGAGCTGGACTTTCTCCTGGTCAGTGAGGTCATTGATGGCGCCGGACTTGAGGTTGCGGAAGGCATTGTCGGTGGGAGCGAAGACGGTAAAGCCCTCAGAAGTGGAGTTGAGCTGGGATTGGAGTTGTTGCATCTGTTGGGTATCTTTGAGAAGGCGGATGAGGGTGGCATATTGGCCACCTTTGTCGAGGATGGCGGTGAGGTTCAGGGGGCCGGCGGGAGCCGGCGCGGGCGCGGATTGAGCTTCCGCCCTAGGAGTAAGGAGAAAAAGAATGGGAGTGAGGGCAAGAAGAATGAGTGCAAGAGAAGATGCCATGTTTGGTGATGGAAGAAAGAAGAAGAAGAGTGAAATATGTGCGGTGGTGGTGCAAGGCGGTGGAGGCTTTTTATTTGGATAAAAGCTTGGCTGAGGCCTGTGTTGGCATGAGCTGTCTCCTGCCTTTCAAGGGGAAAAAAAAAATATTCTTGACACAACGGAAAAATACAGATTAACAATAGCTACAGAGAAAATATATAAATATATATATATATGTCTCAATATATATAGTTGGCTTATTAAAAATGAATGCTGTACAGATGTTGGCTTTTGAAAGAGACATAATATCTAGTGGATAGTTGTGAGCGCAGTGAAATGTAGTTTCATCGAGCAGTTTACCTGATAAAAATGAAACAAACCATAAGTTGACTCTTATTATTACTGGGAGTATAGTTATGTGCTGTGAACTTGTGATCACTGCGAGTTTTAGGTAGGAGTTAAATGTAAATTTACTCTCTCTCTCTCTCTCTCACACACACACACACACAAGTGAAATAGTTTCGAAATTTCGGAAGCTTTACAAATGTTAACAAGATAACTGAAGAACTACAAAGGTGAATTCTGAACAAGGATGCTGAAATATGTACCGTTGTATGTGGTGCTTAGCTGTAATATGCAGAGATGATGAAGTCAAGCCCTTTCCAAATTGTATGATATTTTTTTTAAAGTTGAAAACTTGGTATGAACACGAGAGAGTAATTGCATATATTTGATCTTAGTTAAGAGAGATGAGCTGAGAATTGAGGAGAAATATCATCATCATTATTATTATTAGAGGCATAAAAGTCCAACCAATTTGCAGTGTCTGAATCTGGGCATTTGGTGTAACGTTATGGTCAAGTTGGGAGGGTTTGGACAAAAAACAATGGTATAAAATGTTGGTTTGGCAGGCTGGCAAATACTGCATACCATGTGGAGAGATAATGTTACCCACTCAATTATTAAAATCATCGTAATTAATTAAGTATCGTTAGACCTGTCTCTGATTCACTTGTTGAAATATTACTTCCGCTCTTTCATATAAAAGCTTATTTAACTTTTATTTTAGTCCTAAATATAAGACTTTAATTAACTTTGTCTATCATATTTATCCATTTTTTCTAAGGTAGTTCTTATAATAATGATAATTCTAACAAATACATTTGATTAATAACGATATTTTAGAAAAGACAGCACCTATTTATTATAAATAACTAACTTAACTAGTTTTTTTAATCTACTCGAATTAGTCAACTAGTTCTTATATTAAATACCAGGAGATAGTATTATACTATATCCTTTTTTTCCCCCACACAGTGGACAGCCACTCAATAATATATAATCGTGCAAGACTTTTCAAATTCCATCATTATATTCTTAACGCTTATTATAATACATATAAAGCTTTTACATTCAACTATGGCTTTATATACACTAATCTGTTGGAACAAACTTTCATGAAATTTGGTAGTTATAAAATTAAAGGACTAAAATTATATTTTTTCCCCTGGATTTTTTTTTGGAGATGTATGGTCACTATAAAATTAAGGGTGGCGTATTGTTGTTTCTTTTGTATCATAAAGGGATCGAGCAATGCCACACTTTTATAAGTATCCATTAATTGATCATTATATATGCATTATAAATTTAAAAAATAAAATAAAAAGAGTTTTGAGTTTACTTTTCCAGGGGAACGGAGGAAAAGAGAACTTCTGTTGTGGCCTACAGGCGAGCAATGCCAGCATGGTTTCAGAGTTCAAACTTCACGTATCCACACATATGGGCCGACACCCGAGAAGATCCATAAAGAGATCAGTCTAGGCCCAAATTCTTTGAAAACTCGTATTTTGGGCTTGTATTATTTACATCGGCCCAATTGTTGGCCTCTCTCTTCCCTTCCACTTCTTTCCTGCACCGGAACGAACAGGAAACAGAGAGAGTCTGAATAATTCAGATCCTTCGAATTCGCTTCCTCAAGTCTCTCTCTTTGCTTCCTCTTTACCCTTAAAAAGTGGTGGCGGTGGTGGTGGTTAATGGCGGCCAAAAACAAGTACGCCTCTATTAACTTCAATCATGTTTACGAGAAAACCACCACTACCAGTCCTGGCACTAACTCTGGGAAGATCTCATCCCCTGCATCTTCTTCATCTTCTGCTGCCTCATATTCTGCAGTTTCTTCGCCCAACAAGCCTCATGGCCGTATGCTGGTTCTAACCCGACCCACACCCAAACCTGTCACCCCCCCAGCACACCCTTCGCCTTCAATTCAATTCACATCAACATCAACATCAACATCAACAACCGAAGCTAACTCAACAAGCCCCAGATCAGCCCCAGTCCCAGCCCGGATCAGATACGAATGAGATCTCACTTCGCCCATTGGGTCGCACTGGAACAGGGTCGTCTCTTTCATCCCCTATCGTAAATTGTGAGAAAGACGCGGACATACCATCGCCCCTGGTATCGCCGAAACCTGGAAAGTTCGTGCCGCCGCATCTTCGGCCAGGATTTGTGTCGAAGGAGGAAAAGATTGGTCCCGATGTGGTTCGGTCTAGGCAGCAAGGGCATGCTGGATTGCGCGGTCGGTATGCGGAAGATGCGCGGCCCAAGTCGGGTGGATACGAAAGAATGAGGGGGGGCGACGCATTCGATACGGGGACGATGAGACGACCAACATCTAGTGGAAGTCGACCTGGTTCGAGTGGATGGTATGTTTGTCTTCACGATCCGCCTTTTAGCTGTAGATGGGTGGTCTATCTATTCTATGATAGGATTGATATTTTTCGTGTTTTGTCCTGTCTGAATTTTAACTTGACATCGATATGCAATCGTTTGTTTGGGAAGTGTATTGGATCAAGCGTTTGTTTGATTCTTGAAATGTATATGTAACTTGGAGCATAGAGGTGAGAACTTTAGAATTTGCTTGTTTTATGGGCAGTCAACACTTAATAGATAGATGTGCTTGAGAAAAAAAATGTAGGTTTCAGGATTGCTCATTTATCTATTTGAGCCTTAGCATTTATGTAGGAGACTAAGACAATTCCTAAATCTAACTGTAAATCTCCTTGACTTTTTTGAAGAGCAATAAATGAATAACCTCGTAGGCCTTCAGCAGCGTGGATACGCTTCTTGCTAAATTTCTTAATAATCTAGTTAGTATTTCTAGTGGCATTGCTTTATCAAATCTCAATATAATGAATTTTTGCATGTTTGGAATCCCCCAAGGTTGGTCCTGGCCTTTTGGTCGAATAATTTGTTGTCGTGATAAATGAAGATAATTCAAAGCAGTAATTTATGCAGTTATATTTGCCCTCTCAATATTCAGTGAGAGTTGGGTGTGGCAATAACCTATAAATTTTAATTGACATGCAGATTAGGCGGTACCATATACAAATTTTCTGTTGCTCTGCTATTGATCATTAACTTATTTATCTCTTATTTAACAACCCCCCCCCCCAAAAAAAAAAAAAAACAAAAACACACACACGCACAAAAAATAGTTCTTGCCATTTATGGTTCATAATTTGTGGAACTGACTTGGCTTGATGTTATTTTAAGCTTGACCTGAATGTTAACTTGTCAGATTCGATGCTTCACTTTGGCCATCCGTTGGTTACTCACGGAATGAGAAAAGCCGATGACCATGTAATGTCATGCTTTTGTTTCTGTTCTAATGGTTTTTAATTGCTATGTTCTGTCACCTTTTTTTTTTTTTTTAATGACAATGAATTACATGAAACCGAACATTCATGTTCATTTACTTCCTTTATGTATAAAAATGATTTACTGAATATGTTCATGATTTGATTAAATGTCTCTGTTCAGAATGGTTGCGAAACGGAATTCTTTCCCGAGGACGAAGATACACTTGTCAGTTTGCAAGACAGATGGGTCCTCTGGAATTAACATCACAAAATAGCGGTTCCAGTTCAATTGAATGAAGATGGAAGCTGACCAGCTGTCGACTTTTCAACCACTAACGTCAGAGTTTGTACTGAGAAAGAAGCTGTGTCACGCAATTGCTTTTCTCACTTTGTGTTTAACCTCGTGCCAATGCGCTATAGAATCCACTTACATTCTTTTTTATTACTCTAATACTATCTGAACTCGGTTTTGACTATTTATCCTGTGGCAGTGTGCCTTTGTAACCCGAACAGACTCAATCCTTTTATGGGGATTCAGGTTTTCCTTTTGCATGGCACAATATGTTAGTCAATGTAACCCAACCATTTTCGTTCCTTATACGGGTGACTGTTAGTGTTCTGTAACTTTATGGACTAGAAATGTGCCATCACATTAGAGATTGCTGAATCTGGTTAGAAGAATCCAGAACGTACACGGTGTTGCTGCAATACTCAATAAAACTGATACAAGTGGAAGGTCATTTTCTCTGCATAAACTTGTCCACTCTTATAACTACTTGAATCCTTTTGCATTTACATTTCGTAATGCTCAAAAGTCTCGTTCTATCTTATCTTGACTTGCCCATACGCAGATTGAATTGGTTGGGTACTTGGATCAGATGTTGTTCTGTGGTTATCACAATTAGAACGTGATGAAATGAACACCATCCGTCTGTAATGTTTTTCTCCCAAATGGGTAAAACATCAAGAAAATATCTTTTTAATCATAAATTTTTTTTGAAAAACTAGTTTTCTGGTTAGGTTCAATGCACGACTTGGGAAAATTATGGCTTGATTTAAGATTTGTTGTTAAATTTAAAAATGAAAAATATTCTGGAATTCAAATTAATATCGGTTAAGATTCAAGAGTATGTATAATGGTTCTCTCACTTAAATAACATCTACAAACTGACTGTTAGCAACTAATTTTAACCGTCACTGGAATTAAAAAAAAATGTAAATCCGGGGAACAATTAATTTGATTTTAAAATACGTTTTTATAATTTAAAAGCTTGTCGGCTGATATTTACAATTTTATACTTGTAGTATGTAGATAGTCCCAAAATCTCTGGCAAAATAAAAAGAACAACAACAGTAGTAGTAGCAGCCAATCCCAGGATTTCAATGAACCATGTGGATAACGGAAACGGAACATATTACGCCGACGAGGATACTGTTAACATGTGGCAGCCATTTATTGGTTTCTGAAAGTCAAAACGCAGGTCAGAAAGTTTGCTTGGCTGGCTCTACCATTGCCCTGGGAACGCCGGAGTTTCATTAGGAATTGCCGGCAGCTGCCAGGGTTTCTGGATCATCTAAACCCAAAATTTGCTCCTCCATCACTAAATTGAATCCCTTCCTCCTACCTCTCACCCTGATGGACATTGCCCAGCCAACCAGAATCTCCCTATTTTCGTCTTTCTCATTCTCTGAAGCCCCGACTTTGTCCTGAACCCATCCATGTCATTCGTTAGCTCAGAACGTTTCTGCGGCGAAAGTGGTGGACTGAAATCTCGGCAGCTTATTCTAACTATGGCGGAACCTGAAGAAACGGTTAAATCTGCTGGTGATCAACAATCAGAGCATGGCGTGTGCATTTCTTTTTCTTCTTGATTTTTTTTTTTGGGGCTGGGCAAGGAATCCGTCATAATCATTGACACATTTCCTCTTTCAGGTTTGGTTAGACTTTTGCTGATAATAGAATAGAATCAACTAATGATTTCAGTGCCTTCTGCTATTTCAGTGTGCAGTTTCTTTAGAAGGTCAGTTAATAAGAAGAAATGTTTCAGTGCCTTCTGGTAGCCCTTCATAGGTGAAGTGCTATCGGTCACGTTAATTTTTATTTATTTTCAATAATGTATGATCTAAGTAGCGCTTCACAGGTGAAGGGCTACCAGTTCAATTTCTTCTTTTTTTAAAAAAAGGTTTAACACGCAGCCTTTTTAGAGCTCTAAACGCAACCAAACCAAATTTATTTAGAAAAAGGCCCCCGCAGAGCTTTTCTCCAGTTTTCCCTTCTTCGTCTTTGTGCGCTGCTTGCTCCCTTTCCTTCTCAAATAACATTGATGTCTTTTTCTGTTTTCAGCTTGCATTCCTGTCACCGTCATGCTATCGTGCCTCAGCTCCCGTCTTTGGTGGTCCAATTCGATCGCGTCTTCGTGTTTAATCGTGTTCCTTTAAAAGGTGCTCTTTCTCCCTCAGTTTAAACCCTAGAGTCGGCCAGTACCTCCAGCTCTCAAGCAGAGGTATCTTCCCTATCATTTAAAGTTGTTGGTGCCCTTGTCTTACAGAACTAAAACATCTAAGTTGCCTTCAAGGAGATTTGACGGGCAAAGTTTCTTTTTCGGTTGTCCATGGCGTCGAATAAAGGTAACTCCTTTGGTCTTTATTTTTCTATGTTTCTTTTGTATTTGCGTGAGGATTTTTTAAATTAAAAAAAATAAGGCAATGATGGTCGGATTTGAGGACGGAGATGGAAGGAACAGCATCAAAGGATTCATCATCTTTGCTCGATAATAAATCTTAGTGCTACAATTTAACTTTGAATTAGCTTGACGTTATCATACAGTTACTGTTTCTTTTTCTTTACCCTCTATACTTTTCTTTGTTGGCATAAGTTCAGTAAAAAATTAAAAATTGTGAAACTGGGGGTTATAAATCTGTTCATGGGGTTCAAACGTGCGTGGAGATTGGGATTTTAAGGGGAGTAACCGAACTTGATTTTTGACATTCTTCAAAGTTACAATATTGATCCAAGTCTCTATCTTTGAAATTTTGCAACATAATTGAACGGCTGTGGTTTCTTTCTTTCAAATCTTATATAATATGCCGAGTCACTTGCAAGATCTGAAGTTTTCAAAGTATTCATGAAGTGTTTCACTCCAATACCCATGGCATGAAAATATAGGGTTCTTGGGCAGTGTTTTTAAAATATATGTTTGGCGTTCCTCATTAGTTTTCGTGATCTTTTCCTCTAATTTTGTGTAAGAAAGAATTTTAAACCTGCTAAACATTACCACATTTTATTGTGTGCTTACATCTCTCCTCTTCAGTAGCTTCTGGCATGTGCGAATGGTCTAACTTCACAAGAAGTTAGATTCTAAACGTCTCTTTGCATCTTATTGTATATATTTGTATGTATGTTCTGATATATTTGTCTAAATCATGTATGACCTTTCTATTTTAAATTGAGGAAAGGTGGTTGTTAGTTATTTGATGCATATTCATATGAAGTTTTTATTTATAGGAACATGTTCTTATTGTAGCTTGCAATCTCTGCATTTAGTAAGTTCTTAACCTCCTAGAACATTCTGGTCAAAAAAAAAAAAAACCTCCTAGAACATGTTCTAACCCCTAATATACTTTATATTTACATATATTTTGTTTTCCTTTTTTTTTCCAAGCTTTTTTCTTGTATGGTGCACCAGCCTCCTATTATTAAGACTTTTTAGAGAATTCCTCATCTTTTTCACACATGTATTTTGTAAATGTGGAGCCATGTAGTCATATTAAAAAAATTATGTAAAAATCATGGTACAGCACTAGCGCTAAAATGATTTTTTTTAGATAAAAACAATATCATGGTTTCGTTTATTTTGGAATAAGTGCCACCTAATGTTAATATTTTTTTAAAAATTAAACTAGAACACCAGGTAGCGCTCATACCTCATAAATGCTACCAAAGGATGACAAGTATGAGATATACACGCTACCGCTATTTTAACTTCTTATTAAAAAGAGTTTAAACTGTAACACTTCTTTAAAAAAGTGCTACCTGACTCCTCTATTTTAAGCTCTACCGCTTAAGTGATAGTGTATCGCTGGCCGGACATAAGTGAACACATTTGATTGAGTTTAGGATCATGGCCTGCATATTCCTAGAAAACCATCACAGGCAATGTGTTGAAAGGCGTGGGATCATCATTTTGGAACTGGGAAGACAGTGAATAAAATGGCTTCATCAGAATTGGATTTAGCAGAAGAAGCATCGAGAGTGTCATACTGAAGAAGCTTAGAGGTATTGGTTAGGGCATAACCCTCTTATGTGGCCCAAATTCATTATCTCTTGAATTCATTATAATATTTTGTCTTTTAACAAATTTTTTATTAATACTAACAGGATTAGGTCTAATAAAAAAAGCTAGTTGTTCATAACGTGATGAATCAAAGGATTGAATTTTTATTGAAAGAGATGCCTATATTTAGTGTCTTAAATAAGAGGATATCTGCGCATAGAATTTTTTTTTACTAAGAACAACAACAACAACTTATTTGTTAAAAGTACTAATCCCGAAGATGCAAAACATTTTACTTGTACTTCTCTTTTTTTTTCATAAAAAAAAGAAAATAATTTTTTCCACCTAAATGTTATGTCTCACGTCACGTGTTACCAGCCTTTTTTGAAAAACAAGGCAATGCCGAAGAATACTTCAATAGAAAATTGGGTGGATTTTTTAGAATATAAACCTCCATCATTGTGCTAAGTCCGTTTCATCATTATCTTGCAAAAGATATGGTCAGAGTTGTCATGCAGCAACTCCATCGCACGAGGATCTCGTGTGTGTCTGTGTAATGAGTTTTTATGTAACTGTTGTATATTTTTTGTGTTAAGAAACTTAAAAGTTTTATTGAATGATTACAAAACCGATGATCCTACTAAATATTGAGTTTTTAAGGGATAATAAAAGTATAAAGGTGAAATACCAAAAATACAGATAGATGTTGAAATGAATGCATATTCATAGTTAAAAAGATAAGATTCATATGAAAATGATAAATCAAATAATACTAAGTGTATCTTTTGAAACAGATACAAAACAGATAATAAAACTGTTTAATGAAGTTATTCAACAAGACAGTTTGATTAATATTATATTAAAAGAACTCATTAGTAATAAAACACAATAGTACAGTGCAATGTAATTAATCTTATTTACTAGGATATATAAGGTTTGTTATTGTTGTACATATGTCTCTTAAAAATTATATTATTCATATATATATATATTTTTCAATCTTAAAATTCTTGGCATCCGAATCCTAATTACGCTGCTCAGTGTTACATCTTGATTGTATTATCATAATCTCGTGGGTGGAAAGTGGGTGGAAAGTGGGTGGCTTTGGAAGGAAAATAAACAGAGATCAATAGGATCAGAGATATTGGAGTTTTCTTTTAATTTAATTTGTATTATAAAAAAAGTAGTCGGGAAAAATAGAAATGAACACAAAACAAAATAACAGCAAGAAATTGGGTCCTCAACTCCTCATGAATTTTATGCTACCTCCCGTTTTTAATATTAATATGACAATTGATTTTACTTTTATTTTAATTCTAAATATAAGACTCTAATTTACTTTATTACTCATATTTATTCATTTTTTCTAAGCTAGTAATTTTAATAATAGTAATTATAGCTAATACACTTAATTAGCAAGGATATTTAAAAAAATATTTATTTATTATAAATAACTAATTTTTTTAATTTATTCAACTTAGTTAACCAAATCTTATATTAT